AAAACATGGCCCCGTAACTCGAAAGCATCACACGTTGCGACCGAGCACAAACGTCTCGATTCCATAACTCGCCCATACTCGTCACATATAATAATACATTGTAGCCTCTTTCTGATATCGCTATAAGCAAAGTGCGATGCTTTCTAGTTACGGGTCCATATTTCTTTTTAGCATGGATAATATATCAAAAATCTTTTGTTATAAGATGAAAGCACATTTACATTCAGTAAGTGCTTCTTCTTTTCATTTCCACTGTTGTACATAATGTTCTTATAGCACAATACCATGCTACCTGCAATGACTGTGTTCAGATGGCATGACCACACAAAACACAAAGGTGGGAGGGTTGGGTGGTGGGGGTGAAACACATTCCTACTATATGAAAGACTAAGAAGGCATAAAAAAACCCACCTTTGCTGCTTACTAATATTAATCCTTTCTTTTTTCAGTCCGAAAACATCTTTTAAAACTGTTCAAAATTTTGCTTTAAATATCTGATTTAGTTGTACGACAACGTTGTCAAATCCTTTTTGGCTTCACCATAAAATCAGGTAAGCTAAATCAAAGACAAGAATATAATTTTGGTATAGATCAAATGGTATTATTTTTCGAATGAGCTGTTGCCTCCAGGGGACAATAAATTCTATGCACAGTTTGAGTAAAACATGTTCACATAACAGTGAGCTCTCGTTCATTTTAACATTGCTTCTGTTAAAATTTCACCAAATTGGTTAAATATTAAAGGTACTTTCCATGGGTTTGAAACTTCCCCAAAAGCTTACTTTTGCCATCCACAGCTTCTTATAAAAATCTTACATACACCTGACATACAATTTAACTCCTGATATATATTTTTTTCTGCAGCGTACTTGATGTTATATTTACAAAGGAACAAACACTGTAGGGTAATGGTCACTGGTTATCATGAGTAGCCAGTCATTTTCAACTAAATCAACCTTTATAAATTTAATTAAGGGTCAAATCCAAGTGCAGAGAGGGATAGATAAATGATTCATGAGTATGAGAATATTGCTTATTTCTCTGGGATTCTGGAAAAATCCATTTTGGTGGGAAATCCCACAGAGTTGCTTTTTAATGCCTCTAAAACAATAAGTTTGTCTAAAATTGTATAAAAATTTAGCCAATCAAAAAATGACTCCAGTTTGTGTACCTCTGTGAAAGCTTCATTAGTATGGACAGAAGAAAAGTTAAATGACTCTAGTTAAACTAAGTTTATGTAATTCTGTGAAAGCCTCATTAGCGTGACAGGAAGAAAAGCAACCAAACATTTCCTAAAGCCAAACACTTACTAGTAAGTGTGGTCAGGTTTCATTCATTTCAACTCCACATGCAGGAAAGTCAGTTACATAATATGCTATAACATAGCTGGTTGGAATCCAGCATGACTATGGTTTAAGGGTGTATTCCCAGAGATTTAGATCTATCCAGAGATTAAGATTTAGATCGACCTAACTCCCTGGGGGTTCACGCTAAATTGCAGTCAGCCGAGCCCGCACCATAGTTAATTACCCCCTTACAGCTTTCAGTAGGCGGAATAGACGCTTAAGCCGGCTAAACTGACAGTAATCTAGTGAGGCTCCCCACAGGGATAGATCGATCTAAAATCTATGGAAATGGGGTCTAAGCCTAGATCTAATTATATATATATATATATATATATATATATATATATATATATATATGATAACTAGTGTCCACTTGGATAAAACCCGTCAGCTAACAAGTTTAGGATCCTGGGTTCACATCAAACAGACTCAATAATTTTATATCTTGGTAAATTCAGAAGACTTATGACTTTTACAACTTCCTACAATATATCATGTGTATGCATCCCTTTATGACTTCAAGGTGTATATTTTCCCCATGATACGCCTTGGGAAATGAGCAAATTAAGCATACCTTTAGGTCATACAGCTGTATGTGTTAACTCTTAGCATGATTTGCCATATAAGTAAATGCAAGAATATGATGTCATATACAGTAGATGGTTGCACATTCTTGGTGTATGTTGTAGGGCACTCTATGACATTTTACTTTAAAGTTCAGCTAAAGTTGCATTGCAGATCTATACAAGTACTTTTACAAACAAAAGAATCATTCATTCACAACATCTAGTGAAACAGTGAAAGCATTTCGACAATAACCTGCATAAAACCTTGCCTTTCCAGATAGGCATGAGGTTATAAATACTTAATCTATTATCTACGCAGAATTCTATGCCTGTATATTTATATATTAATACTAAAGACTACTATTTCACATGCACAGCTGCTGCAGCCTTTTCATATTTTTCAGCACAGAGTATGTTTAGTCAACTAATCTAGAACATGTAAAAATGATCAATAATTCAGCTGTAATGTAGGTCTGATGATGATTCACTATCATCCACGAAAACATCTTTTTACTGCGAAGTTGAATAGTCTTTTAATGTAATATTGCAACACTTTGAAAATAATTCATCACTGTGTGATATTGAATGTTAATTGTCATCAAATAAATTGCAATTGTACCACTGCATAAAACCATTACAAAAAGCTATCTGCTTTTTATAGAGAGGACTTTCCAACTGAAATCTTTAATGACATTTTCATCATATTTTTGACACTGGCTGAACTATAATGAACCTGAAGAATTATTAATGACACATACTTTGTGTTCACATAATTTGATCAATGTGACAAATAATAAATTTAATATTTTTTCACAAAGTTACTCCTGATAAAGAGGTTCTGTTAAATACATAAACAAGTAATGCATGGTTCGATGCCCTATTGATAAAAAAAAAAACATATAAAAACAAAGGTGCAGTTTCTTGATTCTACTGAATAATTATTGTGACAGGAAAGATAAAGTGTCATTATAATTTAATGGATTGCCATGGACACAGAACAGCGCACTTACCACTTCGTCTCTACATGTACCCGTTTCTTGCTTGTGTTTATCAATTTCATCCTTTAAATGACTAATCTGCGTACTCAGATCGTTGTTCTCTACAAGTTTCTGACTCGATTCTTTCTGAACTACTTTGAGATTGTCTTCATTTTCTTTCATTCGGCTCAACAAGGCCTCCGCCCGTTTTTCAATGCTCAACTTGTTCTGAGTCGCTAGTCTTAATTTCATAGAGAGATCAGAAACTTCTCTCAAAAGTTCACTGTTGCGTGAAGAGACACTCCAGTAGTTGAATGCTAAAATTGCAATCACCACAAACAGTCCAATTATGACAAAAGGCGGAGATCTTCCAGAAGGCCTCATTCCTCCTCTCGGTGTTCCGCTCGACGCCATGTTGTGTGTGGCGACCTCAGGGAAAGGTGAAGGTCGTGTCAGTACAGGTGTCAGCAGCGCTTGTCTTCCTACCTGAGAAGTCTTCGTGACGCATGACGTGCCTACCCACGCATCTCCCGCATGACAGACATTTATTTCTTTTCTCTTTTGCTTTTTATTTGTTATATTTCTAAATGGTATTGAACTATGATAAGCAAGAAAGAATTAAGTTTCTTACCTTTTTGAAAATGTACAAATAATGGAAATTTTAAAATGCATACTTTGCTAGTACCCGGGAATAATGATCACACCTTATTAATACTGTAGCAAAAATTAAACTGGACTAAAGACGTATTACGAAATGCGTTTTATTTTACTGACACATTTTGTCCTCAACTTAAAATATATTTTAAACAATGACTGGAAACGAAGGTTTTGCAAATTCTTTTCACAGACAGGCCTACCCAACTACCAGACTCGGCACCTAAGGATCCTGAATTAACCGGTATATCGGACCACACTACCCGTTTTCAAGGTGTGTGTCAGATCGCATTTCGGAGTATCAGCCAGAACACCGACAGGATGAGCCCTGACATGCTCGGCTGTCACCTTGATTGGATAGTAAACGATTGTCGTAAAATCGCTATATGATTTTAAAACCGGGTGCATAATTTTGAAAGCCACCTAGATGAACCTTAGACTGCCACATTAATCTAATACAATGCAAAAAAGCCCTGTCAAAAGTGGTTAAAACATTCAAACCGAATGTCGTAAAGTCCCCATATATCCCCATAGAGACAATAAAATAGAGTACTCTAAAGTAAGAGTACAGTTTAAGGTTGTTCAGCCGAGCGTGGATGAGCCCGCAGTCGTGCTACAAAATTTGCTCTGGGGGATGATACTCCGAAATGCGATCTGACACACACCTTGAAAACGGGTAGCGTGGTCCGATATACCGGTTAATTCAGGATCCTTAGGTGCCGAGTCTGGTAGTTGGGTAGGCCTGACAGAGAATGAAGTTTTTTAATCGTGTTTCGATCGTGTAAAACATTTGACTGTACCCTGTCAGCATATTTTTATCTTGGTTACCATGGATGTTTATTAATAGCTTAAAAAATAAATAAATAAATAAATAATAATAATAATAATAATAATAATAATAATAATAATGACCCGCAGCAAAAAAAAAAAAAAAAAAAAATCACGAAGGTTTTTTCAATTTTTAAAGGCTGGCGACACCGCCAAAAATAGCAGCAAGCTATTTATTGCATTGTTTTACATAAACATTTTAGCCATTTTCTCAGATGTTAAATATCATACTCACCCTTGACAATTAAGTTGTGGATTTTCTACTTTAGTAAAAAATAAACTAGATCGATTGGAGAATGTGAGATGGTGCTGCGAAGGACGCACAGTAAGTTGCTAGACTGATGTAAGTTGGCACAACAAGTCTTGGCTCGCTTACTTTTAATAAAATGAAAAAATAAATCAAATAAACCTATATCTTGAGAATCAGTCAGTACCGGTATGTCCACGTTTGTTCATATGTTTATTGCCTCCACTCATGCAGGCATTTGAGAGAGGCCGAGAATGGGCGTGACTTGGTAACACAAAATTTTATCAATATTAAGGCATGGAATTTATTTATAAGTAATATATTTTTTTATTTATTATTTATTTATTACTATAAATTATTATTATTATTTTAAATTAAGAGACCAAAACCAAAATATTGAATAAAGCTTAATTGGAAATATCAGTCCAGCATGCCACGTTGGCAAAGCTGAAAACTGGACAAATGCATGCAAAAAAAAAAAAAAAAAAAAATTATTTCCTTTTCCATGTTTGATTTTTTTTATTTGATTTTAGAAAAAATCAATGCTAGTGATAATTTTAATGAAAATAAAATATGTAAAAAAAAACATAAAAATTGATATTATGAAACAGATCCCTTTATATGAGTATGAAAGAAAAACGATTAAAAGAAAAATATACATATATTTATAGAGCATTGCACAGGTTTAATTTGCTTTCCCGTGCCATAATCAAACACTGTAACTACATAATGTATCTCATATGTCATCTTGCTATGGTGTTAAATAATTAAAAAAGACTGGCATTCAGCTAGGCTGAATTGCTTTGTAGAATCAATCAAATCAATACCCATGTCCCCATGAGAGTATTATGCTATATAAATTCATATTAGCTATCCCCGTTGAAAATAACCTTATTGAATTTCCACTGGTGCATTAGCATGCAATTAAAGATTAAAAAACATGTACATATGATACTTTGGAAGCTCTTTCTTTTATACCTTAAACAAACACATTATGTACCTCATATTTACAGAGCATTACATTTTCTTTGTTGTGTGCAAAATATTTAGTTTACCGTTGCCAAGCAATATATTTACCGCACGTCACAGATTTGACCTATTTATCTACAGGTGCGCGCCGCCATCTTGTTCCTGTTTAACACCCATGGGTGCAAAATTATAGATTTTTATCACGATTCTGTGTTATTCTTCGCTTCTACTACGGTAAAACAGAAACTGAAACATTTGACACAGGAGCTATATACACGAAGATCAGGATATAATCAAGACGGCGCAAGGAAGAGATGAAAGATGCTCCTGTCATAAGATACATTGTAGAATGGTAGCGGTATTTTGGAAATGGTGTTGTTGGACAGCGATACTGTTCATCTGTTTACAAATAGGTGAGTTTCAACTAAAACGATTTTATATGATTGTCTGCTGTCATTTATATGTCCTTTGAGTACCAGGGCTAGTTTTTATATAACCCTTTGGTCAACTGTTATGTGTTGTCCAGAAATAAAGCCACCGTAACTTGTAACTTGCAAAGGTTACGTCATGCTAGCTGTGCCTCTCAAGCAGAATGGCTTCATTCAAAAAGTATATGTACAGGTAGTACCCTGAGAAAAAATGCACTTATGGTTAGCCATATTCAGTACAAAAGTTGATTCCCTTCACACAGAGTAACGAAGAGAACAACATACATGTACTAGTATATATAGTACTGTAGATGCAAATTGGACCAGAAGTAGTAGTAGATCCCAATGCAACGAAGGCTAGCTTTTAGACTACCTGCAATTTTTAAATAAGCATTGGAATTCGTCAGTGTTTTGTATTATACCCTCGTCTTGAAAATGATTATTTATGAAAGTTTTGTTTTGCAAATAAGTTAATCTGAAGCAGTAGTAGATCCCCATGCAACCAAGGCTAGTATTTAGCATACCTGCAGTTTACAAATATTGAAATTGGTCTGTGTTTTGTTTTAGACCCTTGCATTGAAAATTATTATTTATGAAAGTTTTGATTTGCAAATATGTAAACTTACCTTGAAAATTATTTATGACAGTTTTTGATTTGCAAATAAGTAAACTTGCATTGAAAATTATTTATGAAAGTTTTGATTTGCAAATAAGTTAATCTGAAGCAGTAGTAGATCCCCATGCAACCAAGACTATAGCTTTTAGCATACCTGCAGTTTACAAGTATTGGAATTGGTCATTGTATTGTTTTATATCCTTGCATTGAAAATTGTTATTTATGAGAGTTTTGATTTTCAAATAAGCAAACTGGGAAATAAAGTTGTTTGATATGTAATCATCTACCCCAGTGTTAGAAATTAAGGCTGGACCGTCTGCCCAGGGCAGACAACTTTCAGAACAGGCAGAGAAGTTTTCCCACCCAGCAGACATTCTAGCCAGCTAATTTTCAAGATGGCCGAGCTTTCGGTCCAGCAACTTATTTTCCAAAGAGGCAAACACTGATCTACCCAGTGTCCATGAAGTTTTATTAATTAATTGATAATCATAAAGCATCTAAAACTTATGTAAATAAGTTGAGAATTAACTGCTTACTGAACTGGCCAGTATTTTATCTGCTTGCAATCAGACTTTCTCAGGGAATGGGTTTATTTCGCTATCACAAACTATTGTGAAAATAACTGCTATTGAAATGGCCATGAAACTTCAAAAGTCTAATTATGGAATTTGTTGCACATTGTTGACACTGCTTTTCAGCTGGATAACAGTTACATATTTCTATTTAGCAATTTACTTAAGCAAACATAAATTTAATATAAGGCTAACTTTTTTCAGCCAAGAAAAATTGACCACTGAGGACCATGATTACACCCCTTTTTTGATGGATTGATATAATTTATCATTCAATCATATTTTTTGGCTAGGGGGATACTAGTAATTATCTTTCATAAGGTCTTCTCTAGCATCTATTTTGTTGAAACCAATGTTTTCTTAAATATTCTGCTGTCATGCAGAAAAAAATGAAAACTTTTCAGTTTTGAATTTGAAAATATATTTCACATTTTATGATATTTTGGTTACAATTTTCCCCACATTTTTACATTTCAGATACCACTTCAGCAGTATGTGACTGTGATGTAGACTGTGCGGGTAACTGCACTGCGGGGACATACTGGTCTGCTGCCTCAAGCAGCTGTCAGACATGTGACACTGGATATTAGTAAGTGAAAATCAATTGATGTAATATTGACTTCCCTTCTGAATTAGTGTGTAACATAGAAATTTATGACTCCAAAGACATTGGGCATAGATTCAGGAAATATCTATCATAGATCTTTTTTTTTTTCTGTAATCCCAGCAAAGTGTTCACTGGGAAAATGATGAATTTTGAGCACAGTTATTAGTGTATGTATATTTTCCTAAAAAAACTTCACTGGGCTGCTGGGCCAAGAAAATACCAAATTTCATAAACTTAATATAAGTCAGATTTTCATAAAATATCATCTGTTATCAGACTAGTGGCTATGGTGCAAACTGCTAGAGTAACATCTTTTTCTTTTCAAAAAAATCTGTGTCTCTCCTGTTGACATATTTCAGTTCAAGAAATATATCAAGCTAGATAAAATATTGAAGAAGAAGAATTGTATTAATTTATTTCTAATTCTTGATCCTGTACATTTTTTTTTAAATATTTGATATATTTTTTAAAGATCAGGCTTTTGAAAATCAAAGAGAATCTTAATCTAATTGAGTATTAATATACGCAAATATTTTTGAAGATAACTGTTGACTTTTCATTATTTTGTGTTGAAATTTTAATACAATGTACATGTGACTGAATATGTTAATTCTTGGGGTGGGAGGGTGCTTTCCAAAAGAACTTTACAGTATTGGGGTTAAAGAGATTTTTAAGAGTGATAATAAGGATCCATTTTAGGTTTGTGCTGTTTAGATGTTGAACTATTTAAAAGATTATCATGCAAAAGTTGATTATTGCTGCACTAACAATTTTGCTCACTTTCTGAGTGGATGTATTTACACTAATAAAGTTACAGTTAATCTGTGTTGAATAAACAACAACAAAAAGATCACAGTCTACATTTTCAGCGAATCTAGCAGCAAAGTCATGCTATGTTAAATTACAGCCTTTATCTTAGCATTCGAGTGTGTTTTGTGCCTGTGTTAGACCCCTTATCAAAATTCAAACATCATCAATATCATGAAAACAGGCAAAACAAACACTTGATGGGCATAAAACCATTACAACCTGAATTGCATTTGGATATGTGCGATTGTGCATGTTTGTGTAAGCTCATGCTAAGCCTAGTGCTGCAGCAAAATTCTGTTGAAACAGTTTTTGATTAGGACGAATTGAAACACATGGATGAAAGTGATAAATAGAAATTAACAACCCTTTCCTTCCTCCAGACGATAAATTAATGCTACAAGGATGTTAAACCATGCATTTTAGTCGCAGCCTTTTGAATAGGTGCACCACTCTGTTTGTCGTTCTGATGTAAAGGTTTGCTTTGGCTTCACATTCATTGTTGTCATAACTGTAGACAATCCAGATTACTGTGCCAGAATAGAGCTGCCCAAATAGAATAAGCAAACACATTGCCCTATTGAAACCCGTGAAACACTTTGGATTTAATAAGAGACATGCTTTATTTGGTTCTGGGGAGGGGTACTAGAGAGCTGAAAGGCTGCATGAATACACAAACCAAAAAGTGTGCTATGTATTTTAGAAAGGGCACAACCTTGGGTCTTTTATGTACCAGTGAATTAGTGCCTATGACTCCTTGTTTGATATTTCTGTTTGACCTTCTTGGGTGCTTAAAAGTTAAATTACCATTAATTCCATATGAGTTTCTTATTTTGTGTTCTTTTCCACTTGAAGAAGGTCCCTTGAATTAAAGTTGTTTTCTATAAGTAATAAACCTTGATTAAAAAAATCTGAAAAGACTTTTTCCGTTTTTTTTTTAATATATGTTATCAGATTTCTTTGTCTTTTTTTTTATTTGATTTTTGGTTATAGTAGAGTTGAATTTTAACAAGAACTTCTAATTTACCTTAAAAAATGAAGGAATTTCAGAATTTCTGAAAAAGAAAAACCTACCTAAGACAGATTATTGAATTCTTGCAAGCAAACACAACCTATCTATCAAAAAATGAAAATAATGTTTGGTGATCGAAGCATTTGACATATTTTTTAAATAAAAGATCATTGCCAGATTCACATTACACAAGCAAAGATCTTGATAAATAGATTTAAACAAACGAAGTTAAAGATTGATAAATAAATTGAAAAGAATGAATAAAGGAAAAGATACATAAATACACAAACAAAAAATGAAGACAAATGAATGAAAATAAAGTTAAAAAGAGAGAACATCAAATAATAACAAATTGTTTTCTCTCTGTAGTTGTCCAGGGTCAAATTCATCCCGCATCCCCTGCAGTGCAGGTACTATGAACAATGCGACAGGCTCCTCAGATAGCAGTGCCNAATATATGATATCAGATTTCTTTGTCTTTTTTTTTAATTTGATTTTCGGTCATAGTAGAGTTGAATTTTAACAAGAACTTCTAATTTACCTTAAAAAAATGAAGGAATTTCAGAATTTCTAAAAAAGAAAAAACCTACCTAAGACAGGTTATTGAATTCTTGCAAGCAAACACAACCTATCTATCAAAAAATGAAAATAATGTTTGGTGAGCGAAGCATTTGACATATTTTTTAAATAAAAAGATCATTGCCAGATTCACATTACACAAGCAAAGATCTTGATTAATAGATTTAAACAAAAGAAATTAAAGATTGATAAATAAATTGAAATGAATGAATAAAGGAATAGATACATAAATACACAAATGAAAACTAAAGACAAATGAATGAAAATAAAGTTAAAAAGAGAACATCAAATAATAACAAATTGTTTTCTCTCTCTAGTTGTCCAGGGTCAAATTCATCCCGCATCCCCTGCAGTGCAGGTACTATGAACAATGTGACAGGCTCCTCAGATAGCAGTGCCTGTATAGCATGTGCAGCTAATGAAGTGAGCAGTGCAGGGGCAGCTGTGTGTGACCTGTGTCCAGCAGGGTATAGCTGTACAGGGTCAACTAGCACCACAGCCTGTGTTCTGCCTCAGTATTCACAAATAGGAGAGACAGTGTGTAATACATGCCCCAACACCAGCATATGTGCAACGACTACTGGAGCACCTCAGGTAAGAGACCAATAGTAGACATTCAAACTGTCAGTTAGATTTTCTTCTAAAAACCTCTTTTACTTAATAGGTTAAGCACATCCACACACATGCACATACAAGCATATGCAGACATGGGTGCTCAGACCAGTGTTCAGTCTCTGTCTGTACTAGTATATGATTTTAGAGTTTCTCAGGACTGATTTTTATACATAGTAATCAGAATTTTCAAACATTTTTTTTCAAGTTTTCTGGACTGTAATATTTATTGAATCTCTACATATTTAAAAAATATTTCCTAGCTATTTATTTTCAGTAATTTATGTGAAATGTGTACAGATATCAGTTTGAATATACTACTGCAGGCCCGTATAGCCAGCAAATTCAAAAGGGGGTTCTTTTTCTGAAAAAGTGGACCTTTTACAATGAAACTTATGTGTACCTAGATCAAATTTTACCCAAAATGGACCTTTTCCTGACAAGAGGGGCGGTTCTTTAGAACCCCCCAAACCCCCCCTGGCTACGGGCCTGTACTGGATGGTGTCTTACTTGCACATTGTTGTTTATCCTGTAGGAGTGTCCTGCCGGTCAGGTCCCTAACTCTAACCAGAGTGCCTGTGAGAACTGTGCTGCTGGTCAGTACAGACGGTCATCTGACCCAGCATGTCAAGACTGCCCACTAGGTAATGCATGTGGTCATTGGTTTGAGTTATTTAAAAAATGTTTTCTGGCATATTTATACAAACCATATTTGTGAAAAAATTAATTCTCTGAAAAAATGGATAATTTTTGAAAGAGGTTTATTTTTCAAACAAATTTGGAAAATATGAATTCATAGACTTTTTAAATATTTTTGGTATGTTTGAGATATCACATTGTAAATATTTTTATGCATTCTCTTCCTTTTGAAAACAGAAATTTATGAATTTATGTTGTCTGTTAATTCAATTACAAATACAACCATATTTATTTTCATGTTGGAACACTGAATTATCAAAGCAATTGATATGTTTGTGGCCATATTTTCATTTTAGGATACAAATGTCCTACTGGGGGACTGTCTGCTCCAATAGAATGTCCAACAGGGTATTATCAGAATGTGACTGGTCAATCTGCATGTGAAATATGTCCAGCTGGTCATGAATGCTCGGACCCTACTGCGGCCACTGCCTGCTTAGCTGGACAGTATGCTGTAGCAGGGTCAACCAACTGCTCTAGTTGTGGTACAGGTAAGTGGTCAGAGAAGAATGACCAGAGCTAAGAAAACATTTCTAGATAACTGTAATATTTCTGTTTTATCTTACAGGGTAGTGTGTATGAGGTGAGTTTGAAAGTGTGTGTATATTTGTTCACTGATTGCAGATATTTTGGGGTTTGAATGAGTTTGATGGTATGTTGTATGGCAGAATGATGGATAGAGGAGATGAATGTGGGTAAGCAATTCATTTTGGAAGTTTGAAAAGAACAGTTTCATTGTGAGAGTGACCCCTCCAAAAACGAGGTGAAAGCAGATGAAATTATTGGTTTTAATTAATAACATTTTGCATTTTAGTTAACTGTTAGTTCACTTGGTTTTGGCTTGCTTAACATTTTGTGTGTTTAAATAATGGCTTTAATTGTTTAATTTTTTTCTGCAAATTTCAGTATTGCATTTTATAATGCTTCATCATGTTGTTTTGCTAACCTTTTTTGTTTCAATTGACTAACTTGATTTGGCAATTATTAAGCTTTTTTAACATGTACTTAACATATGAAAGTTTGGTACTTAAAAGTTTAATTCATTCCTTTAAGGTTAATTTTTGCTTAACAAAATGTTATTTTATCTCTCTCCTCACCTTGGTGTATCAGGGTATTATGTTATGGAAGGATCAGGGTCTTGCACCCTGTGTCCTGCAGGCAAGGACTGCACTAACCCCTCAGTCACACCCTCAGACTGTCCTGCAGGTCAATACAGTGGCCTTGGGGAGGCAGGGTGCATCAGTTGTCCATCAGGTAAATTAAATGTGGTGGTGGTGGTTTCCATTGAATTTTCCCTGTTTCAAATCATAAAGACCTTGCTGTCAATATTTAGGCTCTATTCCCATAGATTTTAGATCGATCTATCCCCGCGGGGAGTCTCACTAGATTATTTTCAGATAATCCTGCTTAAATGTCCGTCCCGCCTACTACAAGCTGTAATGGGGTAATTAACTTTTGTGTCCGCCCGGCTGACAGCTATTTAGCGTGAACCCCCAGGGAGTTAGGTAGATCTAAAGTAGGTCGATCTAATCTATGGAAATGGGGTGTTAAGTATTATGGGAATTTGGTTGTCTCTCAATGAAATTACAATCATATGTTTGCCAGAGCAATAATGGTAGAAACTCACACTTTAATTGTTCAAAATAAACAAACAAAAAAATGTTCTTTTGGTTTTACCCATCAGTGATAGATTTTCAGCAGAATTGTGAAAATTCATCAAATTAAGTTTAAACTCCCCGCTTACAGGATTTTATAGCCTCGGTGGTGCCAGTAGTTGTGACCCCTGTCCAGCTGGTCAGGAGTGTACTAATTCTTCCATTAGCCCTATTAACTGTACAGCTGGTACATATAGCCCACTGGGGGAACCAGGGTGCAGAACATGTGCTTCAGGTATACACAATGGCCACCCTTTATTAAACTGTTTTAGAGGTTGTGGTATGAAAGGCATTTTAAGCAACAACCACCTATGGCTGATATTGCTGTAATCATTATGTTCTATTTTTATATGAATTTGTATAGTAGTATTTCATCTGTTTGCTACCAAATATATGAATGTGGCTTATCATCATGAGCTTTATTGTGGACTGTTGTCTGATGTGCTCTTCTTTTACAAAATTTGAATGGACTAAGAGAATGCATGAAAAAAACACACATAGCCATGCGTACTTGGTGAACTGTTGAAAATGAATGCTATTCAGGGGCGGATCCAGAGATATTTTCTGACAGTCTTCCAAATTATCTTTGTTGATCTATCCTCCATTTTTGACTATCTTCTGACAAAAAATTAGATACCCGTAAATGTAAACTTGAAAATCTGACCGTCTTCCGGAAGACCCAGAAGACGGCCTCAATCTGCCCCTGCTATTGCTTGATAGGCTTTTACCACCACGGCCTCATGCAGTTACCTAAAAAAAAAAAAAACAGGATGCCTTTCCATTATTTGATTAAATAACAATGTAATTTACTATGCCAGGTCTATTACAGCAAATATTTATTACATGTTGATTTGAAAGTCTGATATGTTGACATGGCAACAAAATAATTAAGCTTTGATTTGCAGTGTTATGGGATTTGGTTAGACATGCATGTTCAGATAATTCAAATTCACCAACCCTGCCACATATACTTGGAGAACTAATTTATTGGATAGAATTCATATTGACTCATAAAATTTTTAGCCTGCAGTGAAATTGCTGCGATACATTAATGGATCCTCCATGATGCATATATTAATGTGATTACTTGGTTGGGTACCGCATCTATTTTTTATTCATAATATAGATACATGTAACATTTTTAACCATTTGCCATACTGTTTTTTTTTAAAGCTTATTAACTTTGTTCAGTGTGTCAAATTATATTGCTTAACATTAATTTAGATTATTTTTCAATATTTTGCTTAATATTGCTAACAAGTTTTAACATTGCTTGATAATTTGTTGATGTTTTTTTATGTTGCTTAAAATTTGCTGTGTATTCTCTCTAACTCATGCCCAGGCTACTATAGTGCATCTGGAACTGAAAACTGTACAATATGCCCCACTGGAAAGAACTGCATAAATCCAGGGGTGGCACCACCCCCTGACTGCTTAGCAGGGTCCTTCAGCCTGGAAGGGAGCACTGGATGTACAAATTGCCCCCTGGGTACATATCAAGACACCCCAGGGGCGGGCACATGTTTGCAATGCCCTTCTGGGAAAGATTGTAATAATGCTTCTGCTACCCCATCCGATTGTTTTGCTGGGTTTTATAGTCCTGCTGGGGAGACAAATTGTTTGGCCTGTGGCACAGGTATGATATTGGAATACCTGTCTGTGAGAAAATTTAGCTTTATGGCAGTGGTAGTAAATTTGCCATACTGTTTCTTTTTACAGCTTATTAATTTTGTTCAGTGTGTTGAATTATATTGCTTAACATTAATTTATATTATTTTATAAAATTTTGCTTAAAGGGATGACAACTCTTTATTTTGGCAGGAAAAGTGCCATTTAACAAATATTCCTGGAATAAGCGACAATTTTTCATATTTTGCAATGGTAAATGCATCCGTTCTAACATTCAGAGTTGGTCGATTGGTTTTTTTATAATGTGTTTTTTGTAATAATCTCCTAAGAGATTATCTCTTGAGAGATTATTACAGAGGTTAGCCATCTGTGAAGGTCTACATGGTTTGATGGCAAGCATAGATTCCAGGATTATTGTGATAACTGCTGTTTTGGTAGTAAAATGGAATTCATTATATTTCTATGTGTTGTTTACAATGTATTTGTGAAATTTTGAGTCTCATATAAAGAGTTGTTATCCCTTTAATATTACTGACAAGCCTTAACATTACTTGATAATTTATTGATTTTTGTATGTTGCTTTAAATTTGCTGTGTATTCTCTCTAACTCATGCCCAGGCTACTATAGCGCATCTGGAGCTGAAAACTGTACAATATGTCCCACTGGAAAGAACTGCATTAACCCAGGGGTGGCACCACCCCCTGACTGCTTAGCAGGGTCCTTCAGCCAGGAAGGGAGCACTGGATGTACAAATTGCCCCCTGGGTACATATCAAGACACCCCAGGGTCGGGCACATGTTTGCAATGCCCTTCTGGGAAAGACTGTAATGATACATCAGCTACCCCATCTGATTGTTTTGCGGGGTTTTATAGTCCTGCTGGGGAGACTAATTGTTTGCCTTGTGGTACAGGTATGATATTGGACCTGTTTAATGGCAGTAAATAACTTATGTGTCTTGAGAGGGAATGTTTCTGTGTGTGGAAGGAGTCTTTTGGATAGAGTGTCAGTGTTTGTTAACCTATGTTTTTTGTTAAAACCTGTGTCGTCTTTCTCCCTAGAGGATATCCAGGTATGATTGTAGTTTCTGCCATTATATATTATTGATAATGGCATTGATACTACAAACCATGCTTTGTTATAAATGCTCAGTATATATTTTCTTTATCATCAGATAACTGCTTCAAAATCTTCAGGTCTTATTACATATATAATCAAAGTTAATTGTGTTAGCTTGGTATTGGCCAATAATGAACTATTGACAAACTCATTCAAAATCATCTAGAACAGTCCAACCAAAATGTCATTTTACAAGAATATAAAAAAGAACCATTGCCAGCAACACATGACAAGACATAAAAACTTTAGTATACATGTCTTTTAAAATGAAAATTCATGTTAAGCACTGCTCAATCTAATCATTTTTCAGGAGAATACAGTAGTGGTGGAGCTGGAAGCTGCTCTCCATGTGAAGCAGGTTATTATTGCACTGCAGCCACACAGACACCCTGTGGCATAGGGAAATACAGCAGTGCAGGGGCAACAGTCTGCAGCAGTTGTACTGCAGGTTATTTCTGTCCCAACTCCACTGTGGAGTTTCCTGAGGAGTGTTCCGCAGGGTACTTCTCTGCAGCTGCGGCTGCCAACTGCACAATATGCCCAGTTGGGAATGAGTGTCCAGTGACCAGGATGACATCTCCGTCACCTTGTCAGAATGGGACCTATGCTGACAGTCAAGGGTCTACATCTTGCAGTGCTTGTCCTGCAGGTAAGAGTTTTTACAATTTTAATATATGGCTAAATAGAACACAGTGCTTTTTTAGGAAAGTACAGGCCATGGATTATGATGACAGTCATTGCTCACTGAAACTTAAATTATTATAGCTCTTATGAAATGACTGATAAAAACTAAATTTATATTGTATGAAGGACAAGTATTGGATTGAAATTAAATATTCCACAGGATGGTCTTTTAGAAGAGCATCGTGTTTATTGCATGAAAACCCTTTGTGTTATAGACACTCTTTTTCTTAGTATATTTGCCATAATAGTCATATTTTGACAAATCGATGTTGGACGTTGTAGATATAAATCATAGGTTGAACTCTGTATTCTCTTTAATCAATTTTCAGGCAGGAAATGCACTTCCACAACTGGCACTCCAGTCCCGTGTCTTCAGGGTACTTTCAGCCCTGAAGGCTGGACCATATGTCTGACATGTGAAGACGGAGACTATGCAAATGATACAGGATCTGCCTCGTGCACCCCGTGTCCTGAGGGTTACAGCTGTGAAGACAAGACAATTGCCCCTGTGATATGTGCTGCTGGAACATACAGTAATGGGAGCAGTAAATATTGTACTGATTGTGTCCCAGCGCAGGTGAAGGAAGCCTCAGGGCCTGGCACCTGTACTGACTGCCCTGCTGGCTATGAGTGCCCTAGTGTAACATCAAGTAAGTGTTTGTGAACATTCATTTTGTTAAATTTTTCATTTGGTTTATGTGTTATGAGATGAATACACATATTTTAATTATTATTTTAATATTTGTTTTCTCTCATTAAATGACTATACTTTATTATTTCACAGATAATGTGTTTTTAATTCCATGTTGTGACAGTCACTGTAACATTATCTCATTATGCTGTCTCACCATTATATTTGAAGAATCCCCTAAAATCATTGAACTGAAAGTACTTTACATCTTGCGCTATTTCAAGGCTAAATTTAACATGATACGAATTAAAAGTTAATTCTCTCTTCCACATTTCAGAACAAGCATGCTCCAGTGGCTACTACTCCCTTGGTGGACTTAGCGCCTGTGTCCCCTGTCCAGGGGGGCACAGCTGTTCAGACCCCAGTGTTGCCCCAGTGGAATGTACAGCAGGGAACTATGCTTCCAACGCCAGTAGTTCATGTACTCCATGTCCGGCTGGTCAGTACTGTCCAGATAATGGAATGATTGAGCCACTGCACTGTCCAACTGGGTATTACCAGACTGCTACTGGAGGATCTAATTGTACACAGTGCCCACAGGGTAGGTGTCCCCTGTGTAATTTTTTGTTTGTTATGAAGACAGTGTATGCCAAAAATTTTTCACCTGCTGGCACTTCAGGATGCTTAGGTCTAAGGATCTACTTGCCCAAAGTAGAAACAGGGACCAGTGATTAAACAGATTTATAAATATTTTTGGCTTGGCTTCAGTGTTACTGGTGTTTGGTAAGTGGTTTATGTTGAAATGTTGAATAATGATTAGTGTACATTTTTTAAATTATCATTTGTTAGTTTTGATTTATATTTGGTTAAAACACTGATGTGAGGAACCTTTGTTATTCTTTGAAGGATTTATACTTAAAAGTGTATACCAAAATAACTTATCCCTTTCAGAAACTGAATTTAGCCTACTGTATAATGCTACAAAATATTTTTTTATAATTTGGAACATAAATTAATGTTCTAGGTCACCAGTGTGCCAGCCCTGACTCTGCTGCTGTGGCCTGTTTGGCTGGACAATATCAAGACCAGTATGGAATGACCAGTTGTAAACAGGTGTGTATAACTAGACCATGCATGGATGTCATAATAGATGTATGAATAAAAATAGTTATCTTCAAAGAGATAATGAATGTACTCATAAGATGCAACATTTTTTGGAAGTAATTTTATGACATGTCTTTAAGTTGCCTGTGTTATTGAATCAGACTTAAATTTAACATATTAAGAACATAGAATCAGTTATTGCATGCTGTTGTTCTATTTTAGTGTCCTGATGGCTACTACACTACAGGGACTGGCACAGTGACCTGTACCCAGTGTCCAGCAGGCAGTAAATGTCCAGACCCTTCTGCCTCACCTGTGGCTTGCTCTGCTGGAGAGGTAAGTGTTTAGTTAAGCCTTAGTCTTTTTCAATACATTTCCCTCTATTTCTTTTACCAATAAGTGGAAATGAGTAAAATGTTGCTGATCAGTATAGAGTTCATATATTAGGGCATTTTTGGCTTCAAATTCCAAGTTTAAATGAATACTACATATAAGGCATTTGAAAAAATATTTTTAGTTGACATTTTGCATTTTCTTTTACACATTGGTGATTAATTGGGAGTTTACAGATACATGTATATATTACTGTGAGCAAATGGTATTGTAATTATAAAAAGTACATGAATAATACAAATAATTAATATCAAGTACTTTGCTAGTCTGTGTTCTCACAACTTATGTTTTATATTTCAGTTCTCAGATGCAGGAGCCACAGGGTGTCAGGTGTGCCCTGCTGGTACCACATGTACTGGAGATGGATCTGCTCCTGCCACATGCTCTGTGAGTTCAAAACCTCTTTCATTTACAGTTTGTTCAACATGTAGCAAGAAAAATGACTTTTTTTCCAAAAATAACTATTTAACAAGTATTAATTAAGCTAGCAGTTGATTGTGGGATGTACTCATTAAGAAGACTTTGTTTTATATCGCAGTATAATGACTGATCAAAAAATATATATATAAAATACAATTTGGAACTTGAGTGTACAAATGTAAAAAAATCTGTAAGGTTGATTATTTAGTTTGTTGAGAGGAATAGACTAACAGCCCTATTCATAACATATAACCTCTTTCAGACTGGAGAATACTCCAATGGCACTGCTTGTATCCCCTGTCCAGTTGGCTACTACTGTCCATCTCCACTGAGTGGACCTCAGAGCTGCCAGGAGGGGACGTACCAAGACGTGACTGGTCAATCTTCCTGCAAGGCATGTCCAGCTGGTCAGTCATGTCCAGATGTGGCGGGAACCCCAGTTGATTGTAATCCTGGTTACTATAGCCAGAGTGGAGAGTCTGCTTGCAGGGTAAGGGGATAATATATGGAAACATTAAGTAGTGTCTATCAACTTTTATTTGAAAAATAAAAGTTGATAGACACTACTTTTATTTGAAAAATGTAAATTATTTTGAACTTAGGGAAGACCAGGGCTAGTTGGACCCCGGGGTAAGTTGGCCCCCATCAAGTCTCTGTAATAAAGTTAAGATGCTAAATTATTTCATTTGGACTCACTGCCGACTCTTTCTTGGCACTATTGGATATGGTCAATATGGTCGCTATTGGATGTGATCAATTCTTCTACCCCATAGTTACTTTGTCATAAATCGATAGGGGGCCAACTTACCCGGGGGTCCAACTAGCCCTAGTTATCCAGAAAAAAACAGAACCCAGTACCACATTTAAATGATTTTGATCATGAAATATATGCATAATAACTGTAATTACTTAAGATAGATATGTCATGACTTTTTCAAGTTATACATATGTTTCAAGGAGAGAGAGAGAGAGAATGGGGACACTGATATGAATGTCTATGTTTTCTTTCCAGTCTTGTGAGTCAGGTTTCTACAGTGATTCTGCAGCCTCCAGTTGCCTGGTGTGCCCAGGGGGACAGTACTGTTATGATGGAGCCAACTACACCAGCCCAGTCGACTGCCAGAATGGCACCTACAGCCCCCAGGGGAAGTCTGTTTGTGAACCTTGTACTGCAGGTAATGGAGGGGAGGAAATATTGTACATATAAGTATATTACCATGTATTTAGTTTAGTTAAATAATGCTGCATTTTGTCTGTACTGCCAGATAAAAGAGCAGTATGTTCCCTGTGTCCAATTGTTTTGGTCCACTTACTTTATATTTAATATATGGATACATACATTCATAACTCTATTATTTTCAGGCATGTACATTATCTTTGTGGCAGCTGCATGTTCTCTGTGTCCATCTTTTTTGACTCACATTCATAAAATATAATTTATACATAATTCCATTATTTCAGGCCTGTACAGTATCAGTGGGGCAGCAGCCTGCTCCCTGTGTCCAGCTGGCTACTCCTGTCTTGACCCGGCCAATCCTCAACCATGTGGAGCTGGTACCTACAGTGTGGGAGGAACTGTATGAATTATTTTGTCTATTATTTTACTTAGACATTTAAAATATGTTATACTGAATGTTAAAAAGAGAAAGAGACCCTAAAGTTAATATTTGCAATATTTATGTTGATTCAATATTAATAGAAACCTAACCCCACTTCAAGCATTTACAAACTTATTTTGATAGCGTGTAAATGGTTTTGAATTGGAATTGTTGCTTTAGTTTAAAACCATAACATTGACAAAAATGAAATCTTTTAGCAAAGCATGATGTCTTTCCTCTTACTAGGATTTTTTTCATTAGTTTAAAAGTGATGTCAGATCTGTTTTATTGCACATTTGATCAATATATCTACTTCAGATCCTGGAGTGTACAGCGTGTCCTGCTGGCTATGAGTGCAGTGTAACCACAGACAACCCCCAGCCCTGTGGCTTTGGCAACTATTCCACTGTGAACTCCACATCCTGTAGCATGTGTCCTATGGGGTTCTCCTGTCTGAATCCAGGGAGTACCCCTGTGGCCTGTGCAGAGGGCTACTACAGCTTGGAGGTAAGGTGTGTGTGTGTGTGTGTGTGTGTGTGTGTGTGTGTGTGTGTGTGTGTGTGTGTGTGTGTGTGCATGCGTGTGTATGTGCATGTTGAATGTAGAAAAATTATGTTTCCATTCAGGTTGGGCTGACATTATTTAGTACAACCTGTTTCAGCTGGCTGTTTGATAATGATAAGGAAGTCACAGGAAGTCAATCTAATGGCTTAAGACTTCAGGAGAAAGACAGCAGTGAGATTAATTTTTAAACAGGGAAGAAGAGGGTTTGTGCAAGCAGCTCATCTATAAAGTAACCTCACTATATATATATTCTAGGAAGATGCTCAACTTGCATGTTCATGTATGGCATTTTATATTTTAATAAATTGATGTTATTGTGCATGTGACATAATAATGTATTTAGGACAATATATTATATTTGCATTTACATATACCAGCCGCTTAAGTGTGAAAATTATTTTATTAATAGTTATTTTATTCTCTACAGCATTGGGAATACTGCTTATAATTAATAATAATATTATTGCGGACAAGTTTTGAATATGAAACATTGCATGTTGTGTTGTATATTAGAGGGGAAGGCAGATGCAGAAACCTGTTTTGCCTTTTGTTATACGTGCCATGACAATATATGCATGCATAAGAGAAATCCAATCCCCTAGGCACATGTGGTAACATTGTATATATTATAGTATATATAACCCATGCATGTCATATTCACCCAGGGCGAAGGCAAATGCAAGCAGTGTCCAGCAGGCTCAGCATGTAATGATACTGGTGTTGTGGCATGTGTATCTGGGGAATATAGCTTAAAAGGGGAACTTAACTGCACAGAATGTCCAGTCGGCTACATGTGTCCATTCACTAGCTTTGCACCCATTGCATGTCGGAGTGGTCAACATACAAACGGAGTGGGTGGACAGGTCACTTGTACTGATTGCCTGGCCGGTACCAGCTGTCCAAGCACACTGTAAGTTTTTTGGGATCTGGCAAGCTTGGGTTTGAAATTTAAAATATGTACTTATTGTACTCACTGTCTATATTTATATAGGTATTAACATGTGCATATGTCATATAAGGTTATTTTTCAGGTGTTAGTCTTTTTTATTTATTTGTTATTGTTATGTATTTATTATAAGTCAATATCTTGGAACAATCATTGTAAAGTTCATATTGTGTCCTCTTTGATTAATATGTCTTTTGTGTTAATTTCATTCACGCTGTTTTTGGTGCAAAAGTATGGGGACACTGAACACTTGAACTAGCTTGTGACATATCAATTTCTGATGAATGTTTTATATTGTAACTGAATGAATTATTATTATTATTATTATTATTGATCAGTGTGTCCCCAGTGACCTGTAATGCTGGAGAGTACAGCCTGAACAAGTCTGTGAACTGCTTGACCTGTCCATCTGGGGCAGCATGTCCAGATGTGGCCTCCTGGCCAGTGACCTGTACCCCAGGGACCTTCTCCCCAGGGGGTCAGACCAGCTGTAGTGAATGTCCAGCCGGCTATGCTTGTCCCTCAATTAGGACAGACACTGATAAATATCCCTGTCCAAGTGGTAAGTCATGTTTATTTTTGTTGTGTATTATTATTATTTGAAGAAGATTTCAGATTTTGTGCTTCTCAATTTTGATGTCTTCCTTTGCACTTTTAAGGTTGCCTGTCTTAAAATCTCACAGAAAACTGAAACAGAGGATAGAGATTTTATTGAGATAATATAGGTGTGCAATCAACAAAACAAAGCAGAAGTGAAAATTATATGGACCATGTTATAATGGACCTTACATGTTTTCACACTGATTCTTATGGGAATGGGAACTGTGCCTCTTTGTGTGGAACTTTTAGTAATATTTTTTGTTAAAAATGATTTTCTCCTCAGGTACATACTCTCTTGGCAACCAGTCTTCTTGCACATCATGTCCAGCTGGGAAGTATTGTCCATCTACTACAGTGGACACAGAACTGGACTGTACAGCTGGCAGCTATGCTGTGGTGAAGCAGGCTTCGTGTACACCATGTCCTGCTGGCTGGCAGTGTGCTGCTGTGGACGGCTCACAGAATTCACAGTGTATCAATGGATACTTTTCTTTAGGTATGAATTACTTTAACTTCTTTGTGAAATGGTAGAAATGTTTCATATGCACTTAGAGCTGTGAACTAAAAGAATGAATTCAGTTTCATTGGGGTATATCTGCAACCACATAGGATATTAAAATTTAAGATTTTGTGCTTTGAACCTTGATATTTATAAAAAGAACAGGTTTGAAAACTATTTACTCAAGCAAATTGTAAAGCATCCTTGTGTAACTTCTGAAATTATATTGCAGGCAATCAAACACAGTGCACAGAATGCCCAGCAGGTTATGCCTGCCCAAGCAGAAGTTCAAACCAGACATACACCTGCCCATCAGGCTACTACTCCCTAGGGAGAGCCACCTCTTGCACAGGATGTCCACCAGGAAAAAAATGTCCCAGTACAAACTCAGACTCAGACATTGCAGATTGTGGCGCTGGACAGTATAGTGGTGGCAACAGGGCAGCATGTGGTGTGTGCCCAGCAGGAAAATTCTGCCCCAGTAAATACATGGACATTGAATTTGATTGTGTATTTGGAACGTATTCTGATGAGGCTGCTGAACAATGTACAGTTTGTCCAGCTGGTCAAGAGTGTCCTCTTACGAACCAAACTGGTGTTGCTTGTGCAGATGGCTACTACAGCCTGGGTGGTCAAGTGGCCTGTACACCATGTCCAGCTGGCTACTACTGTGCTCAGAAGGACATTGCACCTCTGCCTTGTCAGGCTGGGACATACAGTAATCAGTCTTCTGTGGCATGTGAAAGTTGTTTGCCTGGGTATACCTGCAGAGTAGGCAGCACTAGTAACAAGCCAGCACAGGATATATGTCCAATGGGTAGGTATCTGGTATCAGATGTAACTAGAGCCACATGGAAGCTCATTTATGTATGTAACAGGAAATTCAACTCACTGGCCTATATGAGATATCATATACCATTTATGGAAAATTTTGAATAATTTTATAATTAAAAATTATTGTCATATGTTTATGATGAATAATGCGTAATTTCTTACTTTGTATGAATTTAAAGCTATGTGCACAGTCTAACAAAAGGCTTTTTAAAACATGACTGTATTAAGTAGAACCCAATTCATAAAATTGTGGATTTTTTGTAGGATATTTCTGCCTTGATGGTGAACTAGCCACTGAATGTCCAGATGGTACATATGGTAACAGGACAGGAGCCACCTCACAGGAAGAGGGCTGCCCACCATGTCCATCTAGCTACTACTGTCCACCAGCCACTGCCGGCTTCCCTAGTAAAAGCCTTTGGTGTCCAGTTGGTCACTACTGTCCAGAGGGGACAGGCAACACCAAACCTCAGTGTCCAGCTGGAACTTTTAATGATCGTCAAGGCATGGCCAATGTGTCAAATTGTATTCCATGCACTCAAGGTATATACTGCCCAGATGGAACCCCTACTCAAGACTCTGACAACTTGGCTTGTCCCAGAGGCAGTTACTGTCCCGTGGGAACTGGGGTTCCCATCCCATGTCCTGGTGGGAAATACACAGAAGAAGAAGGCAGCACTGGTCTGGAGTTCTGCAAGTCATGCCCAGTAGGGCACTACTGTCCAAGTGGGTGTGACACCCCGATAGCGTGTGTTGCTGGGACTATGAATCCACTGAGAGAGCAAGAGAATGTGACATCCTGTGCCCCTTGTACTTCAGGGTGGGCCTGCACCATGTCTGGGCTCTCTGAACCAAACTACAGGTGTTCCCCAGGGTACTACTGCCCAGGAGGGAACTTTTTGCCTAACCAGACGGAGTATGCCTGTCCAGCTGGTACCTACACAGACTACAACAACCTGACCACCATTGACCAGTGTGATATATGTCCAGAAACAGTGGCTTGTCTCATAGGGACGGGTGGCATCCAGAAACCTGCTGTCTCTTGTGCCAAGGGTCATTTCTGCCCTAATGGAACTGCTTACCCAACACAACACCCATGCCCAGCAGGAACATGGACCAATCAGACAAACCTGAAACAAGTTGAGGAATGCTATGTGTGCCCAAGAAGATATTACTGTTTGGAAGGGTCTCCTGCACCAACTGGGCTCTGTTTCCAAGGGCATTGGTGTCCTGATGGTAAGTTTTCTGATTAAGTTCAATGTTGGTTATGTGAGCATGATTTACTATGCAGAAAAATAAATTAAAAATCGAGTAAAATATCGCATCATGATTACGCATGATAGGCATTATATAAAATATTATATTATTGTTGTGTTAATATGTCATCTTGAAAACACATACCTGGTTATATGCTGCACATGGACAAGACAAATCAAAGTGGAAACTACAGATAAAAAGCATTGATGTAAAAATCTGGTGCATTAAATGAACTAGCATATACCACATTTCTGTTATCTTACCTCCAGGCACCCCTGCTGGCAACAGTAACCCATGCCATGCTGGTTCCTACAACAACTTGACTGGTATTTCTAAGTGGGAGTCCTGTCTGGACTGTCCTCCTGGAAGCTACTGTCCCCAGGCCTCTGTACTGCCCACAGCATGCAGCGCGTGAGTGCTAGTTTTGGGTCATTTTACTGTATTTCACCTCCTCATTACATCTATTTTCCACTCTCTTTCTCTCTGAGAACCTTTGTTTGGTGTTTTAGATATTTTATGAGAAGAGAAGAAATGTATGATAACTCATTCTTTTGTTTTAAATTTTCTGAACTAAATTGGAAAAAATAGAAGTGGTAAAGGTTTGTGGAATGTGAAAGATGTTGCATAAGGATGAATTACATTTCAGTTGACCAGTAATTTCTGATTATATGAAAACAATAATTTCCCATAGAAATATAGTTCTAATATTTTATCCTTATTTTTATGCATGTATTTTTTGTCTATTTCAGTGGCTTTTACAACCCAGACTACAAAGGGGAGAACATTTCAGCCTGTTTGGATTGTCTGGCAGGTTACTATTGTCCAGAAGATGGCGTATATGACCCACCAGTCTGTGGCAAAGGCAACATGTCAGACAGTGGAGCCGTGGCATGCTCTATTTGTTCTGCTGGATACTACTGCGACAGCAACACCACTAGCTACAGTTTCATGTTATCCGACAGGGTATGTCCAGCTGGGTTGGAGTGTCCACCAGGAATGTACCGGTCACCTGATTTGGTGTCAAATAAATGTCGCCAGGGACATTATTGTCCCCGAGGTGATGTCAACCCGTATCCCGTCCCCTGTCCCATCGGAACCTTCAATGCTTTATATGGCCTGAAACAGGTGTCAGAGTGCCAGGATTGTACTGCAGGGTATTATTGTGACACAGAAGGACTGGTGGCACCAAATGACACTTGTCCAGGTGGCTACTACTGCCCACTAGGCACAGGTGACCGGTTCACGTTCCCCTGCCCCATTGGATTCTACAGAAACGGATCAGCAAGGGAGTCATTCCAAGACTGCACAGAGTGTATATCTGGGTATTACTGCGATGTAGAAGGGTTGGCTGAACCTAAAGAATGTCCACGTGGGTTTTTCTGTGTGACAGGCAGTACTTATCCACAGCCATGCTCCCTGGGAACCTACGGAAACTCCACCACTCTGAGAACTAGCTCTGAGTGTACTCCTTGCCCTGGTGGCAAGTACTGTGATGGAATAGGTCGGACAGAACCTACAGGTTTGTGTGATCCTGGCTTCTATTGTAGAGAAAAAGCATATACATCAGCGCCACCTGATGGACCCACTGGTGGTGTCTGCCCAGCAGGAGGCTACTGTCCCGAGGGGTCGGCTATTGCTTCATCCTGTGAAGTTGGAAAATATAGTAAATCGCCAGGTGCAAAAACACTGTACGACTGCATACCTTGTGACCCTGGATATTTCTGCGCTGGTTCCCAAAGTAGTGCTGCCACTGCCCCCTGTGCTGCTGGTTACTATTGCATAGGTGGCGCTGGGACAGCAACACAGCATGAAACACCTGCTGGGTACTACACAGAGGCAGGTGCCTTCAAACCAGAACCGTGCCCACGAGGCTCTTACCAGCCAGCCGTCAGGTCTGCATCCTGTCTGTTATGTCCGCAAGGTTATTATTGCAACAGCACCGCTGCCACTGACGCAGACAAGATCATTTGCCCCAGAGGTGCTTACTGCCCACAAGGAAGCACCATACCCACAGAGTGTCCTTTGGGCTACTTCCTTGACGGTGAAGGCAGTGCTGAGCTGAGCAACTGTAACCCATGCACAGAAGGCTTTGCCTGTACAGTCTCTGGCCTGCCTTCTCCTATACTCCCCTGCCATGCTGGTCACTACTGTCCACAGGGTACCAACACCACTACGCCGGTCAATGATGCACCAGATGGGGGTGACCTCTGTCCTGCTGGTTACTACTGCCCAGAGGGAACAGCATCCTATGCCCATAACCCATGTCAAAATGGGACCTATAGTAATTACACAGGCAACCAGGCAGTTGAGAATTGTACTGCATGTGAGCCTGGCATGGTGTGTAATGGAGAAGCATTGACTGAACCAACTGGACTGTGTGATCCAGGGTACTATTGTGTGGGTGGAGCCAAGAGTCCAAAACCCAATGATGGAGGGGCCACTGGAGATATATGCCCCACTGGATATCATTGCCCTCAAGGATCAGGTAAAAAAAATGTTTTTTTGAGAATTATTGTACTGTATATGCCATTTTATTTTCCCTACTCTAGAATTGTATTAAACTTTGACCTTATAGAAGATTTCAGTGCCCAATCAAAAACAATTATGATTATGACATCTTCTTACTGATTTTGTCCAGACCTGTGCTTTGTCTGATAACTTTTATAACCATATTTCTACATATCTTTAATATGCATTTTTCAGCTATATATCAACAGTGTCCACCAGGCTCCTTCTCCAATGTCACTGGACTGGCCACCTGTTTTAGTTGTCCAGCTGGCTACTACTGTGAACTGGACACTAACAATGATGCTTACGTAGTTCCTCGTGCTTGTTGGAAGGGACGTTACTGCCCCGGAAATACCTCCATTGCGATGCCGAAATGTCCACCTGGGACTTATAGCAATGTGTATGGTAAGGTTGTGTTTTGTAATAGAACTGTTCTTACTATTACTGTCATACTATGTCATTATTTGATTATTTATACTTCTGTCACAAATTGAGACTAGGAACTTATACAGTACACATTTTATACATGATATCACATAAAATGTATAACTTTGTCTTACATGTATTCTAAATAGGATATTTTATACAAAATGTTGTTATATTGTTATTATAATTATTGTTTACACTGTAGTTGTTATAATCACCTCAACTTTTTTTACTTTGTTGTCTTCATTACTTTATCAAAAATAAGCTTTTTGTAATCTGAATATTATACAGGGAATTTTTTAAAGAAAATCAAAACAAAGTAAATTTCAAAGAAAGTTTTTTTAAAGTTGTACATTGAGTTTACTGATGGGAAGCTTCTGATGCCCTGATTATCTTAGGTCTGCAAAGTGAGGACCAGTGTGCCCCATGTGAGGGAGGCTACTACTGTCTGTGGGGAGCCACAGGGTATGACCCCTCTGTGAATGTCACCAGTTCTGGTGTGGGCAAATGTGAGCCTGGATACTACTGCAAGTCAGGTAAGAAACCACAGATAACAGAGTAAAACTTTGTAGATTATGGATTAAAGGAGAAAAAGTATTTTAGGCTACCTACTGCAACTGCAGTCTTGTTCACACTGTCAACTCATGGAGATGTCAATATTTGGTTGAGAAGTCTTAGCCTGCTTCTCTCGTTAACCTGCAAAGTGATCAAAATCCACAGGAAATAACTGCAAATGGCTAGGAATGATCATTTTCTTCATTTTTCTGCCCCAAAAATGTTCCCCTTTAAGGGAAGTTATAAAGGGAGAGATCAGAGAACTTGGTCCCCACCTGTGCTGTTCAAAAGTACATTGTGCTAATTTGGTATGAATTTCTTTACTTATTTTATTTATAAATATTGTAACTTTTTTTACTATTTCTTAGGTACCAATACCAGCACCCCAACCAATGACACCACAACAGGTATAGGTGGACCATGTCCAGCTGGCTTCTACTGTCTGGAGACCACTGAAGACCCCTACCCTTGTCCCAATGGTACCTACAGAGACACTATTATGGGGATGACTGTAGGAGACTGTATAGACTGTAAACTAGGCTATTACTGTGGCACCACCAACTTGACAGATGGAGAAGGGCCCTGTGATCCTGGGTTTTACTGTCTGAGAGGAAATGCTGAACCCAATCCTACTGGTATGTGTTCTAAGATAATATTATTAACTGGATTTAACATTTGTTAACCACAGCTTAGGAAATATTTCATTATTTAATTTGTATTTGATATATTTGATCAATGTCATGATATATCTGGGTGAGGTTATGCTTCTGAATTATTAAAGGTACTCTTAAAAAGTTGTCATATTAACATTATTTGAGAATAATTATGAAAATTCTTTTTCAGTTGTGGTTGTTTTAATGAATAAAATTTTTAATAAATTTATTATTTACTTTTAATAGAATTCATTTTCACATTAATTTTCATAGTTATTTCAATGAAAAATTTATATTTAATTATTTTTTTGTGTAATTTTTTTAGGCAACAACCCAGCCCAAGGTGGACCCTGCCCCATTGGTCACTACTGTCCAACTGGCACCTCCTACCCACTAGGCTGTAATGCAGGCACATATAACAACCTCACCGGTCAAGCCACCTGTTTCAGTTGTCCAGCTGGCTTCTTTTGTCCAGAAAACATCACAAGTTATGAGCCATTCCCATGTCCAGTTGGCCATTACTGTCCAAATGGTACCCAACACGCTGTCCAGTATAAGTGTCCAAGAGGGTACTTCAGAAACTTGACCATGGGTGAGGAGCTGGCAGATTGCTTCCCCTGTCCTGGTGGCTATTACTGCGGTGGTGAAGGGCTTGACTGGCCAACTGGTCAGTGTGATGCAGGTAAGTAGCCATTGGCCCTTTGTTAAATATTTTCATGTTTTATACATGGATTTGTTTGAGATGGGGGCTTAGGGGGTAGGGCTATCTGTCCATTCCAGATACTGTGGTACAATGGATAAATGCACATTTAGTTAAGGAGAAATCTGGCAAGTTGACAGCTATAGAATTGTGGAATATTACTTTTTTCAACATACATAATCTCACATCAAATTCAATTTTGTACATGGGTATTTTTGGTGGGCCACTTATAAATTAAAGGTGGCAGATATATTCAAAAGTCAAAGAGTACATGTATCAGTACCAAATTTAAATTTTCAGGTTTCTTCTGTGTGAATGCTGCCTGGTCTGCCCAGCCATATGAATATAACAACTACACTGATGGGGACTGTCTTTGCCCTACCAACTCCACAGGAGGGGAGTGCCAGCCTGGGTATTACTGTCCAACTGGATCAGAGGAGCCAATCATATGCAGGGAGGGGAGCTACTGTGCCACACCAGGTATGTCTGTAGCCTCATTGTCTATGGCTGAGAAAAAATTTTTTTCTCACCATTTCTTTGTCAAAAAGTTATGTTTTGATTGATTTTTATATCATCTTGTAAAAAATCATACAAAGCACCTGTCCTGTAAATATTTTTGTTTTGTTTTAATGGTCTGTTATTCGAGTCCTTTTACATGCTTGTGCCACAGAAAACTTCAGGTTTATGACATATTAGAAGCTTGCAAATGTCACAGAGGATCAGGTTATAAATTAATCTATAGCTTTTACAGACAAATCAGACAAAATATTTCATCAAAAAACACTTCTTTTCTTCTTACAGCTCTACCAGACGTCACAGGCCCTTGTCTGGAAGGCTACTACTGCAATGTGGGTGCCACACAAATGGATCCTACAGATGGCACCACAGGAGATGTCTGTCCCGCTGGGAGGTTCTGTCCCAATGGAACCACCACCAATCAGCCCAAGTGTCCTGAGGGGACATTCTCCAATACTACAGGGCTCAGACGTGTAGATGAGTGTACCCAGTGCAAGGCTGGGTATTACTGTGATAATACTGGCCTCACTGAACCTACTGGACCTTGTGATGAGGGTAAGAACAACCTGGTTATTAAGTAATATTACAGTAGTATGTGCTATTGGAATAATATTCTTTCTTTGACTAAGTAAAAAGTTAACAAGACAACAGACAGTAATTGATTATTTTGAGTGTAAATCCTCATCCCAATGTCAATTCCAGGGTACAACTGTAAAGATTAAATTATTATAATGATGACGATGATGATTATTTTCAGGTTACTACTGCCCACCAGGCCAGAACACCAGTAATCCTTTCCCCTGTAGTCCTGGCTACTACTGTGTCCAGGGCAGCACACAGGAGGTGGCCTGTCCATCAGGGCAGTACCAGGACCAGAGTGCACAGGGGAGGTGCAAGTTCTGCTCGTCAGGTAAGGAATGATATACAAGAGTGGGTTATTAAATTTGAAATAATTCAGAGATTATTCTCCAAGTGACATGTCTGTTTTGCTTGGTTAAAACTGTCAAATTGAATTTGATACTGTTGTAATATTTTATGAATATCTTTGGTGGTTACTGACTTAACCATAAATTTATTATAGTATCCAAGCAGTGTATGAACAGTATTTTTCAAATTCAAGATCAAGATGTGTTTTATGGCCTTGCAAGGGTAGTTACTTACTTTTTGTCATTGTTGCTATTTTAGTCTAAACTAAATTTCATTCTCTCTTGATAATTATTCAGACTGAAAACCCTGATGGTTCTTATCATACTATACAATTTTTAATTTTTCAGGTTTTTACTGTGACAACGCCAATGCTCCAATTACAAACTACACAGTGTACCCCTGTCCTGTGGGCCACTACTGCCTCAATGGCACAGAGTGGAGCACACAATATGGCTGTCCTACTGGCACCTATAACCCATACACCATGCTGGAGAGGGAGGACCAGTGTACTCCCTGTGACGCTGGGAAGTACTGTGGGACTGTTGGGAGCAATGTTACTCAAGGTATTTTATGTGTATCATATGTGTCATGAATTTTCAATGAAAACCATTAAATAATAATAATAATAATATGTAAGCAATTAGTATGTTAAAGTTTTTGAGGCTTTTCCTGTATGCTTACTTACTGAGGCACTTCGACCCATAGGCTTTGATATATATTTTTTTTTCAGTATTTTGACAACTACCTGCTTTTATACCTATGATGAAGTATTCAGTATTTGTGATTTATTTGAATATTTATGTTTTTTGCGTATCGGTAAAATCTTGGCCCCTTTTCCAGGTGACTGTACTGCTGGGTACTGGTGTATCAATGGCTCTAGCACTCCAACACCAACAGATGGCGTTAGTGGTCAGTCCTGTCCTGAAGGGAACTACTGCCCCAGGGGAACCCCCAGTCCTGTCCCCTGCCCCATGGGAACCTGGTCTAACAACACTGGCCTTGCCTTGGCCGAGGAATGCCTTCCGTGTGCTGGAGGGTATTACTGTAACCAGACTGGTCTTATGACACCATCAGGTCCATGTGCTGCTGGGTTTTACTGCACATCTAATTCTACAACACCAACTCCCAACGATGGTGGCACCACGGGAGATCCCTGCACTCTGGGGCACTATTGTCCAGAGGGGACAGCTGTGCCAGTGCCTTGTAGTCCAGGGACGTATATGACACAGACCCAAGCTGAAGCCTGTGACCCATGTCCAGCTGGTCATTATTGTATTACTGGACTGACCCCAGAGACCTGTCCACCAGGGTTCTATTGTCCTGAGGGCACTGGACATGTGTGGCAATCTTGTCCTGCAGGTAACCTCACTATAGGAAATAACCTTCAGATTTGCTAAGGGGAGATTTTAATGGCAGCTATGTCCAACCTCTCTCTGATTCCAGAAAAAATGTAATTTTTAAAATGAGTATTCTCTCTGTCTCTGTCTGTCTGTCTCTATGTCTCTCTCTTTCTCTTTTTTTCTCTCTCTCTCTCAAACACTTATTATATCTCAAACAAAAAGGAGTCTGTAGTTTTCTCCATTCAATATTAAATTAATCCTTTTTGTATTATCCCCACAGGTACATTTAGCACAGCTCCTGGCCTGGCCAACACCACCCAGTGTACCCAGTGTACAGGCGGCTACTACTGCAGTGAGCCCAATGCCACCACAGTCACTGCAGAGTGTGATGCTGGCTACTACTGCACAGAAGGATCAGATACACCTACACCTAATGGTGGTAACACCGGTGTGGCTGGACCATGTCCAGGAGGTCACTACTGTCCAGCTCGGACGGTCACTCCTCAGGGCTGCCCAATAGGAAGGTACAGTAACCAGACCCATTTGACTAATGACTCAGCTTGTCAGTTGTGTTCATATGGTAAGTACTGTGGCACTGAAGGACTAGCAGAGCCAACTGGTGACTGTTGGGGAGGATTTTACTGTCTCCTTGGAGCTCAGGTTCCCAACAATCCCGTCCTTGATTCCACGGGTGGACCCTGTCCAGCAGGTCACTACTGCCCCAATGGGACTGCGTATCCACTAGGATGTCCAGCTGGCACATATAACCCAACAACTGGTCTGACTGAATGTATCACCTGCCCAGCTGGCTACTTCTGTCCAGAGAACTCGACAATATACACGGGCAATGATTGTATAGTCGGTCACTACTGCCCCAATGGCACAGCTTACCAAGACCAGTTCCCATGCCCCAGGGGTTACTATAACAACCAGACAGGCTCAGGTAGCATTGATGACTGTACCCCATGTGACCCAGGCATGTATTGTGAGGCCCAAGGGAATAGTGAGCCCACTGGGGCCTGTGCTGAGGGCTGGTATTGTGTGAGAGGAGCCTGGGATGCACAGCCTACTAATGAGGGGAATGTTTCTATTACTAGTAACTGTTTCTTTGAGACCAACTCCACTGGAGGCCAGTGTCAGCCTGGAGAGTTCTGTCCTACTGGGTCTAACCAGCCGGTACCCTGCTCTGCAGGTAAGGCCTAACATTTTTTAATTAGATTTTTTAAAAGTGTGTTTGTGACATTAGATTATTTACTGACTCCAGTTAACTTTATGAACCTATAATTTTTTTACATATTCATTTACATCTTTGATTAATTTTTTCACACTTATGAAATATTTTTAAGGAAAAAGGAAGCGGTTTATCTCTGCACACTGGAAAATTATTCCTATGAAAAATTATTTCCTCTGGTAATCATTGTGGTGATTGACTGATCTTCGAAATTGAATTTTATTTACAGGTTACTTCTGCAATGTTTCTGGCCTGCCCAATGTGACCGGTCCCTGTGCTGCAGGCTACTACTGCACCCTGGGGGCATCACGCCCTGACCCCCAGGATGATGCTACAGGTGGTCAGTGTCCAGGTGGTCACTACTGTCCTGAGGGCACTGGAACCCCTGTCCCCTGTCCACCAGGATACTACACTAACAGTACAGGGAATGAGGATTTCACTGGCTGTAGGCTTTGTACTGCAGGTAATGACTGGAGATGTGAATTTGTATTATCTTTTTACAAAATACTGTTGTAACCTAATGAAAATGAATGTTAAAAATAATTTCCTATTTGGAATCAGACTGTGGCAGTTTTTATGGTCAGTTCCTGTGTGGTAAACAGTGAGATTTATATCTTGATTAAATTGATAAGCGATATGATTTTTTTGAGTACTAACTGATTGAGTTTTATTTTCTTGTTTTTAGGCTACTATTGTGAAGACAGTGGAATGCAAGCCCCCAGTGCCCAGTGTTCTGCTGGCTTCTATTGTCCAGAAGGTCAAAACAACAGCATGCCCTCTGACTACATATGTACACCTGGTCACTTCTGTGTGGTGGGCAGTGCACTGCCACAGGCGTGTCCTTCAGGAACATATCAAGATGAATTTGGAGGAGTAAGTGAAAAAGTCTGCTTTTGTACTTGAAAATTAATTGGATTGATTTACATGGCATTGAAGCACAAAGCACCCTAGTTAAATGGTTACTGTTTTGAAACTCACTGTGTGAAAGATGCTGCGTGGATACTTAAGCATATTTGACATAATGCAATGATTGTGATGAATTTTTATATTGGATGATTTATACCAGAACCCTGCAACATTTTGTTTATCAAATCGATATGATTAGGAATCTGTGCTTGTAATGCAAATAGATAGGCTCATTCACAATGCTTTCAAAATGGTTGCTTGCATAAATATCATAAATATAACCATCATGTTAACAAATGCCAAATTAGACTTTTCTAAGACTACCAACTGTTAAAATTTCCTTTAAAAGTGTTGGATTAATCAGGTAGTTTGAAATCGGACAGATGTGATTTCTTTGTTTGGATGGCTTATACAGTTTGAATGACTAGCAAGCAGATTATATGTACCATAGTATATCACAGAAAGAGGCATAAAAAGCACAGTTGAAAATCTCATTTGCACACCCAGAATCTGTATTTGCACTAGAATGCTATAATACTAACTTCACGCTTGCTTTGTTTGCTGCAGAGTTCAGTGGTAAGTAATTCCAGGGTTGGCACAAGCTATTCTGTTAATTTACTGTGTCCCATGGCCATTTGTTTTACTTTTTTTACCCTCTCCTGTCTGGTTTTGTGTAGGTGTGGAAGAGCTTGTTATTTTCTAGGATAATCAACTCCATTGTTTTAAATAGTTTCTAAAATAATTTCATTGTGTATGTTTCTGTGACATTGCTGTATTATTTACATGTACATTACCAATAATTATAGAGAATTCATAGTATGTCTTTATGGAAAACTTTTTTTGATATACAACTTTGATATCATTTTCAGTCAAAAGTATTAGACTGAATCTCTATGTTATGAATTTCTGTCAAATTCATAAACTTTTTTAGTAGTTTTATTCTTCTATTAATGTTGAGTGACTTATTTGTCAATTTCATGTTATAAGTATGATAGGTTTTCTGTGTTCTGTCATTGTCATTTGTTCATTGAAAATGTCCATGGATTCTAACATTTTTTGGTTTAGATAGCATTTATAGTTTAGAAAAGGTTTTGTGTGCACATTAAACATGTTTGTTTGGTTAAACACTTTGTTTTCTATAGTTAATTGATGTTACCACATATTTAACAGACATATTGTAATGTAAGATTTTTGAGATCATTAATGAGATAATACTTGTGTATTTAAAAATGTCATTTTGATTAGTTTGTATTGTTTTTTAAGATATTAGTGTCCAGTTACATATCTCTTTATTGAATTCCCAGGGGCAGTACAAGTTTTCAATGGTTTTTGATACTCTGCCTCCCATTTTCAGAGTGACTGCAAAGGCTGTCCATCTGGCTACTACTGTGATGGAACAATCCAGAATGATACCCACTGTAGCCACGGTGTCCAGAACCCCACCTCATGTCCAACCGGTCACTACTGTCCAAACAACACCAGATATGCCACAGAATACGGCTGCCCTAATGGAACATACAGCAATCTCACCAACCTCCAGACTGCTGGCGACTGCACCCCGTGCACCCCAGGGTATTACTGTGACAGGGAAGGGTTGTCTGCTCCCCAGGGAGAGTGTCATGCTGGGTTTTATTGCACTCTGGAGGCTGTCCACCCCGAGCCCACTGATAACATCACAGGGGCTATTTGTCCACCAGGAGCATATTGTCCTCAGGGATCTCCATCTCCAACCCTGTGTCCACCGGGGACGTACAATCCAACTGAAGGTAACTACCCTGTGACTCACAGGCTCATGTTGTGCTGTTTTGGTCTATGAGCTAATGATTTTTTGAAATGGACATATGTTGTCTCAAATTGAAAGTAAAAAAATTTTGGAAGATTTTCTCTTCATGCCATATTAACACCTTAGAGCTAGCATGCATTTATTATCTTTCTGAAGATACTTTTGAGTGACATTTAACACTTTTGATTCTTAAAAAATTGTTCAAGATTTAGTTCTTATAATTATATAATTAGCATTTGTTGTACATCATTTTTATCAGTCCCATTAACACTTATTATGTCACATTAAAACAACCCAAAAGTATGTTTGAAGCATTCTTTGATTTTATGCAGCATTCAAAATTTAATCTAAGAATGAATCAAAAATATTCAGTATTGGTTTATCTTGTATTCTAGGTCTGGAAGCAGTTGGTCAGTGTACACCATGTGACCCAGGCAAACACTGCCCTGGTTATGGCCGTACTGACACTGCAGGCAACTGTTCTGCTCGATACTACTGTACTGGTAATGCCTCAACTGACCAACCAACTGATGGCACCACTGGTGACCAGTGTCCAGTTGGTCACTACTGTCCATCTGGAACCTCGGCACCAATCCTGTGTGAGCCTGGGACCTATACGGATAATGTGCTTACTGAGGTGTGTCAGTCATGTCCAGCTGGTCACTACTGTATTAATGGCTCACATCCTCAGGCTTGTCCAAGTGGGTTTTATTGTCCAGAAATGACAGGTTATGTATGGCAGCCTTGTCCATCGGGGACATTCAGTAGTGCAACTGGGTTATCAAATGAGACCCAATGTACCCAGTGTACTGGAGGCTTCTACTGTGACACAACAAACCTCACAGCTGAAAGTGGACCTTGTTCTGCAGGGTACTTCTGCAGAAGTGGCTCAGACGATATGACACCTTCGGGATCAGGCAAAGGAGATGCTGGGATATGCCCAGTTGGTCACTACTGTCCAGCGCAGACCCAGGACCCTGTGGCATGTCCAGCTGGGACTTTTAACAACGAGACTGGTCGAAGTGATTTGGGTCATTGCCAAGACTGTCTCCCAGGGTGGTATTGTGATACCCCAGGGCTGGAGTACCCTGTGGGTCAATGTGAACCTGGCTACTACTGCACCCTGGCCTCAAACAGCTCCAGTCCCCCTGTGGTCACTGCCTCTGGTGGTCCCTGTCCAGCTGGAAGTTACTGTCCACTTGGATCACCTCTGCCCATCCAGTGTCCTGCAGGGACATACAGTCCGACTGAAATATCATCTAACTGCACTAACTGTCCAGCTGGGTATTACTGTGAAACTGGCAGCTTTAACATCACAATTTGTCCAAAGGGTAAGAGAGTTATAAATTGTTGTTAGAAAAATTATAAAAAAGTTTTTCCATAGCTTTGCTGAGATAAAAGTTCCTGTGTATTTTATCAAAGGCAACCTAAGTTTGTTTTCAATAATGTTTAAGATAAACCCCATATTAATTCTGAAGAAATGCAAGTCAATAAGAGACACTGGGTTATCCTTGCTATAAGATATTTATATTTGAGTCCACATCTTTCAGGATACTACTGCCTGGAGTTGACAGAATTTGCCTACCAGTACCCATGTGACAATGGCACCTTCAACAACAACACTGGATCCACAGACCAAAATGCCTGCACCCTGTGTACCCCAGGGTATTACTGCCCCAGAGAAGCCATGCCAGAGCCAGAGGGCCAGTGTGACCAGGGGTGGTACTGCACCCTGGGATCATGGTCCAACCAGCCTAGTGTCCTGGGTAATGATACAGGCTCAGACTGTAACTGCCCAGCCCAGAGTATTGGAGGCATGTGTAAAGCAGGGACCTTCTGCCCCCAGGGGTCATCTCAGCCGACCCCCTGCACCCCAGGGTACTACTGTCTCACAGATGAACTACCAGCTGTATCAGGACCCTGTGCTGCAGGGTTCTATTGCAATGGCAGTACAATCCTTCAACAACCTGTGAATGAAACCACTGGGGATATATGTCCGAAGGGTCACTACTGCCCAGAGGCCAGTGCTTACCCAATAGCCTGCCAGCCTGGAGAATTCTCCAACAACTTTGGCAATCAAAATATCACTAACTGTCAGCCATGTACAGCAGGCCAGTACTGCACAGGTTATGGCCGTGACCTCCCAGATGGTGACTGTGACATTGGTTGGTATTGTCCAGAAGGCATGACTGTTCCTCAACCTCTAGGACAACAGTGCTTAGCTGGACATGCTTGTCCAGTGGGCAGTCCTGACCAGACTGCTTGTTCATCTGGCACATACCAACCAAATGTAGGCCAGGGAGAATGCCTGATGTGTCCAGCTGGCAAATACTGTGACCGCAATGAAGCCATAGCAGAACTGCAGAGTGGAGAGAATGCAACATCACATGGAGTGGTTACTCCGAAGGACTGCCCAGCTGGTTTCTACTGTCCTAATGGCACCCAGACTGCCCGGCAATTCCCTTGTCCTGTTGGAACGTACAGTAACACTACACAGCTGGAGAATGTTACAGAATGTAGAGACTGTCCTGTTGGATTCTATTGCGAGGCAGAGAACATCACCAGCCCCACTGGCCTTTGTACCCCGGGTTTCTACTGTGTCCTGGGTGAAATAACACCAAGTCCACCTAATGTTACAGACCGAGGAGGCCCCTGCCCACAGGGTACTTACTGCACAGAAGGCAGCTCCTGGCCAACACCATGTCCCCAGGGTACTTATGGTGACAGAGACAGACTGCCATCCGAGGCCGATTGTGCTATATGTCCACCAGGGGAGTTCTGTGCCGTGTCGGGCATGATAGCACCAAATGGATCCTGCCTGGCTGGGTTTTACTGTACAAACAGGTCATCAGAGGCCAACCCCTTGGGTCAGGCATATGGAGATGAGTGTCCAGTGGGTCACTACTGTCCAACACACAGCTATATGCCAACACCATGCACAGCTGGAACATACAATCCTGTTGTCCAGAGCACCAATGTCACATCATGTTTACAGTGTGATCCAGGAAAGTTCTGCAACTACTCGGGAGCAGCTAATGTAACAGGGGATTGCTATGCAGGCTTTTACTGTACACTCGGAGCAAGCAACCCAGCCCCAAGAGATGGACTCACAGGAGACATCTGCCCAGCTGGGTCTTACTGCCCAGTTGGGTCCCCTCAGCACTTCCACTGTCTTAACGGCACCTTTACCAACTACACAGGTGCCTCAGAGTGCACCATCTGTCCTGAGGGCTACCTCTGTGTTAATCGTGACCGAGCTGACCAGTGTCCACCAGGCTACTACTGCCCAGTGGGTACTGGGGCTAACCTGCAGCTGTGTCCAGCTGGGACATATAACCCTGGGTATGGACTGACAGCAGAGAATGAGTGTACTCAATGTGATGGTGGGAAGTATTGTCAGCACCCTGCTGCTGCGGCTGTGAGTGGGAACTGTTCTGAGGGTTACTACTGTAGAACAGGTGAGTGATGAGCTGTTACCTGTTTCACAATATGAATTATCAGTAAATGGCTTGATGAAGATGTCCATTAAAATTTGATACTAGTAAAAGATATACAGGAAAGCTATATTGTACTACCTGGTACTTTTTGTGATAAGTTGTATAATTTTGCCAGTTTGACCTTTAAAAAAGGGCCAGGGTAAAGTTTTAAAATAAGAAACTGCTTCTATAAATGCATATATTCAATACTATGTGGTCAATTTTATTAGGTGTGGACACTGCCACCCCATCTGGCAACCATACTGGTGATGGAGGAATATGTCCAGTTGGTCACTACTGTCCACTTTCTACTGCTGACCCTATACCATGTGAGGCAGGATCCTACAGGTATTTGATCATATATATTTATTTCAATAAGAATAAGCACTGGCAAGCTTAAGAATAAGAGTCAAAATATTTTTGGAAAAAGCATAGAACTTTATCACTTTTATTTATTATTTTATTATATTAAATCTTTTTAATGTATTTTAGAATTGAAAGAATACAGTAAAAAGTGATAAATTGCCTAATTAAATGCATTGCTGCATGTTTTCCCCCATTTTTTTATTTATAATTATAACATTTCATTCCATATCTAGTGACAGTGAGGGTCAAGCCAACTGCACCGTCTGCCCAGGTGGCTACTACTGCCTAGAGAACTCCACAACCTACACAGAACTGTGTCCATCTGGCTATTACTGTCCAGCAGGAACAGGTGCCCCCTATGACTACCCTTGCCCCAAGGGGTCATATAACCCTGTGAATGGAAGCAATGGCCCAGAGGATTGCTTGTCTTGTCCTCCAGGACAGTACTGTCAATGTGAGTGAAGGGAAAGTTTATTTGAATTCTTTGAAATGACATAAAATGCTTTTAAAATATTTGAAATAGATTCTGTACAATGTTATCAGTAATTTTGCGATTCATTTTTATAATGAAGAATTGACTCTGAACTTAGAATATATATATTTTCACTTACATTCTAAACTGCATGATTCAAAAAGTAGAATAGTTTGTACAGATTCAAACAAAAGATTGATGAACAAGCTTTAAGAAAATACTGTTCACTTTACTGAAAAAAAAGGAAATCACCCCTGGATCACAAAGAATGATGTCTGCATAAAGTTTGTTAAAAAAATTGCATAATTGAACATCCAATTTTTTTTGCAGTTGATGGAATGTCAGCTCCCAGTGGTAACTGTACAGAGGGATACTACTGCTCTGGAGGCTCCTACATGGCCGAACCCAATGAATATGGCAATGCCACTAGCCTGTCTGAATGTACCTGCCCACTGGTCAACTACACAGGTGGACGCTGCTGGCCAGGGACATACTGTCCCAGTGGCAGTTGGTACCCTGTGCCCTGTGATGCTGGGTACTACTGTCATAACTATGGCCTAGCACTGCCTGCAGGCCTGTGTAACGCAGGGTATTACTGTAACGCCAATGCCTCTCAGCCTGACCCACCTTATGCCGTGTGTCTACCTGGACATTACTGTGAACAGGGGTCAGGGACACCCACTCCATGTCCAGCTGGGACAATGTCGGACACATGGGGAAATGTGAACATCACAGACTGCTTGGCTTGCACCCCTGGCTACTACTGCTCAGGAAATGCCAATACTAATATCACTGGGCCCTGTTCAGCTGGCTTCTACTGTCCTGCTGGTCAGTCCACTGCATCACCTGCTGAGTATAATTGTACCATTGGTCACTATTGTCCTGGTGCTAATGGACAGCCACTAGCATGTCCAGCTGGATTCTATCAGAATGAAGAGGGAATGAGTAGCTGTAAGGACTGTCCAGCTGGAAGGTAAGATGTATTGTATGCCCAATATTGAACTAAATTGTATTAATTTCTTTATTTAACACTTTTTTGTGCTATGCATTATGATCTTTGATTTGTTATTAAAAATAAGATGGCTGTTGAAGAAATGGCTTATGATTTATATCGTAGTGTTTGGATTACGATATCAGATAATAGAATTTTTTTTGTATACCTTATATTTAGTTTGCTAAAATTTGTTAATTTAAAATTTCAAATGCCTACAAGTTTAATTTATAACTAAATAACTGTACATCTTTGTTAATTTAGTTACTGCAACCCAGTGGAAGCAGCAGCCTTGTACAATGTGTCCAGTCATGGTGTGGTCACTCCTGTTGACTGTCCAGTCGGTCACTACTGCCCCAACAACACCCAGGCACAAAACCAGTACCCATGTCTAGTGGGTACCTTTGGCAACACAACAAATTTGCACTCCGAGGCCCAGTGTCTGCCCTGCAGTGGAGGATACTATTGTGATGCTCTAGGTAAGCTTTTGCCTCTACTCTGTGCAGGCCTATAGGGGGTTGGGAGAGGGTTAAACAGCCTTTGGTTTTTGATTGAAAATAGTCTGCTCTTAGTCAGAATTTGATCTAGTTTCCATGCCATTTCTCAAATGGGTCAGTTAATGGAATTAAATGGTAGTAGTCTGACAGTGGCTAGTTGGCAGATTACATTCGTTGATGTGCATGTTTTCCTTAATGTGTGTACTTAGTTACTTCTTAAGTAATGCTAAGGTTGAAAGCCACATTTTGTTCTTTTATTTTATACTGATTGCTAATGAAATTTATGCTTTATGAAAGTCATTTACTTTGTCAACATGCCCTCTTCTTCTAATTGATTTGAAGTTTCCTTTTTTCATTTGAACACAATTATGGGAAGCTTAGTGCAATTTTTTTATGATACTTCAAACATGAGAATCAGGTTTATCGGCCAGAAGACTATTTGTTTGTTTAAGTAAATACTGTTGTCAATTGACAATGTCAAATTTATTTGCAGGCCAAGCAGCTCCACGTGACACCTGTGACGCAGGCTATGTCTGTGTCTCTGGAGCCAACAACTCTCGCCCAACAGATGGCAGCACTGGATATGAGTGTCTGCCTGGCTACTACTGCCCAAGAGGGTCAGACCAGGGGATACTGTGTCCACTCGGAACATTCAGTAACCAGTATGGACAGGAGAATGTAACAGGGTGCCAGTCTTGTACACTTGGCATGTACTGTGCCACAGAGGGTATGTATGTGAATTCACATTTGTGTTGACATATACACATGCGTATGTATGTGCTCAACTCTTTTATTTGTTCTTCAAAATAAATATTGACACTTATTTTCTAAAACATACTTTGAATCAACGATATATAGCATAATTGAATATTGATTTATAGTAAACATTGATTAATGATTGAATCATGATTTTTGTGATAAAAAGCATTACTTGTTATAAAAAAGTAGCAATTATCAAGAATCTCTAAAGAATTGCATGTTTTCAAAGTTTGGCATTTTTAGATTGCATTTATTAGGGAATAGTAAATACTTTGATTCCAGAAAAAAAGACATTACTATTAATATGATATATATTTCATTATAGGTCTGACCTCTCCCACTGGGAACTGCACAGCAGGACACTACTGTGTTTCTGGAGCCATTCTGCCCAACCCTGGTAGTAACGAGACATATGGAGGGATGTGCTGGGCTGGTCACTACTGTCCAGAGGGCACTGGTGACCCCATCCCCTGTCCACAGGGGACATTCCTACCTGACGAGGGAAGAAGTGCAGTGGACGACTGCCTGAACTGTACTGGAGGGAAATACTGTGACACCACTGGACAGACTAATGTCACTGGTCAGTAGACTGACAGAAGAGTGTCTTCTATTTTTGTTGACCCCTAATTTTTTGCATTCATTTTTTCTTGTTGTTGGAACTTTTTAAATTGCATATATGTATATTCATCCGTGATATAGTTCCAAACAAGTATGTGAGTAATTTGATTTTGGAGGGGAATTATGTATCAATGACATCTAATATTATGTAGATAATATACGATAGCATTAAATTATTTATTTATGAAATAAAGTGAAAATTTTTCAAACATGATTGCTGTTTTAACCAGGGGACAGGTTTCTCTGTTTCATTTCTTCACATTCACCTTGGGTTTCCCCTTTCAGGTGACTGCACTGCTGGTTACTACTGCAGCAGCAAGTCCAGCAGTGCCACACCCACTGATGGTGTCACTGGTCAAGAGTGTCCAGCTGGCTATTACTGCCCCACTGGATCTTCTGCCCCCATACCTTGTGATGATGGTGAGTTTGATGTTGAGGAAATTTTGATTTCAGATTATTTTGACCTAAAATTATTGATGCTTTTTTTCTGTGAATATTGAGGAAGGAAACAGCATTTTTAATATGAAATTGTGTAAGACATAAACAGCTGTCTTTTGAAAATACATAATGATAAGTGAACATGCTTTGTCAGTGTATACATAAAGAGTAACATATCTATTATAATTAATTACTTCATGTAAATGCATTCAATTTTACTGAATACTGATTAACAGCTACGCTTTTCTTTAAAATAAGCAAGTAAAAATAAATTGTATGCAAATTTATATTAGAAATGTGGTAGAATAATCATGAAAACATTTCCACCCAGGCACCTACATGAACCACACCCAAGCTGCGCTCTGTGACATATGTCCACCACGTTACTACTGCGTCAACAAAGACAGAGTTGACCCCTGTCCAAGGGGCAAGTACTGTCCAGGCAACACTGGCTTTGACTGGGGGCTGTGTCCACAGGGAACCTACGGTCCAGTGGAGATGCTGGAGAATGCCACAGAGTGTACACAGTGCGATGGAGGGTACTACTGTAGTGAGACTGGAGCTGTCAACGTGACTGGGCCCTGTTATCCTGGTTATTTCTGCCAGCATGGTGTGAACACGCCTGCACCAAATAATAATAACACTGGCTATGGAGGTGAGCATTTTAACACATTATTACTATATGTATTGTGAATTGGAGCTTTAGAGTCCTACCTTTAGTGACCCAGCTCTGCATAGAAAAATTTATACACTTAGATTGTTTTTTGTGTGCTTTAAAAAGTTATGATATGCACCACTGATGGTCTTGTTAAATTGGTAAACTAGCAGTCAGAATTCTTTGAGCTGTCGTTAAGTCTTATGTTTATTGAGCCAGACTTAGACATTAGCCAGACTCTGGTGATGCCCATTGTGACATTACAATTCCAGATGGCTGTCCAGCTGGTCACTACTGTCCAGAAGGCTCTAGTGATGCTATTGGCTGTGCATCGGGGACGTATACCAACATGACCCACCAGGCAACATGTCTCCCATGTGAACCTGGCTACTACTGCACTGCCAGCTCTACCACATACCTGGATCTGCCTTGTCCTACAGGTTTGTAGAGGGGATATTTGTTAGCCGTTTCTTTGGGAGGAAAATGGAATTGAAAATGTCTGCTTATTGGGTGGAGAATAGATTGAAGGCCTTTGCACCATTCTATGCATTCTAAGAAAATATAATAGATGGAATACATTTGCTAATTTTGCTGTTTAAATGAATAATTACAAGAAGGAGCCTGATGGGCTGAATTGTCTCTCTAAAAATTGGATAAATGCCAAGAATTTTTCATAGAATCAAGTGTAGTGATTTTAATATCTATGATTAAGGTGGGACATTATACCTGAGACTATTGTAATATATAACTCGCTTCGATTGCTGCTTTCTAGGCTATCATTCATGTTTTTGTAATTTATTTTCAGGAGCCTACTGTCCACAGGGCACAGGGTCTCCATATCAGTATGAGTGTCCAGCAGGCACCTACAACAACAGAACAATGGCGGATGATGCCTTTGACTGTCTGCCTTGTCCAGGTAAACTGTCTGAAAAAACTTTAGAGTTATTTAGAAGGATAAGATGGGAATATGATGTACATAATTTTATTTCAATCTGCCTTCCCCCATCCAAAAAAAAAAAAAGGTAGAAGAAAGAATTGTTTTAAATTCACTATTTTGGATAATGATAACCCCTGGACAATTAGTCATTCATATGACACATTTCTCTTGTTACAATGTATTTTTTATACAAAATACTCCCTAATTTTTTTTTTTAGTTGGCAAGTGATATGATTATCTAAATTTTTTATACAAAATACTCCCTAGTTTTATTTTTTAGTTGGTATGTGATATAATTATGTAAATAACTGTTCCAGCTGGTCTGTATTGTGCTGGTGATGGTCTGGCTGAACCAAGTGGTGAATGTGCCCCAGGCTGGTTCTGCAGTCGTGGTGCTTTCTCCTCCAAACCCACACCATATGTGAACACCACTGATGACTACAGTGTGAACGGGTCCTGCCCTATCTACTCTCTCAACGAGACTGGAGGAATATGCACACCAGGTGGGGCTTTGGTTCATTGTTGTTTGACTGTTTTTGAATTTACAAAATCTTGAGCATATTTTGTAACGGGTAATATTTGCTTTTGGAGACAAGCAAAGAAAAGTGGAGTTATATCAGTGTTTTTTCTAGCAACCTTGGTACTAGATTTTTTAAAAAATCAGAAATATAAAATAATTGCTAAAGATCTAAAGTGGATAATGAAGGAATCCACAACTGTTTCAGAGTTGTATGTACAAACTTGATCAACTATAAATAATACACCCAGAAATGCAAATAATGATTATTGTGTGTGAAAGAAGAGTGTACAGCTGTAATCATGTGTGTGCCTTTGGATGATTAATTATATAGAACTTTTATTTATCTCATTCACCAATTCCAGGCAACTACTGTCCCAATGGGTCATCCCAAGCAATCCCGTGTCCTCCAGGCCAGTACTGTGATGTGTATGCTCTGGCCAGCCCAGCTGGAGACTGTAGAGAGGGCTACTACTGTAATGGCAGCTCTGTGGTAGAGAACCCAGTGGAGTGTGCTAAAGGTCACTACTGTCCAACTGGGACCACTATCCAGCAGGCCTGTCCAGCCGGGACATTTGCAAGTATGTCATTGTTGATATTGTTATGTTATATTTATGTGTAAACAATCTGTTGTGACCAATTTTTGGTAGTGTCATATCCCTAGAAACATGAAGTGTACTACAAATTCATTTTACTTATTGCATATATTGCACATCACTAATATGCATATTCATTCATTTGAGACAGTGTATGAAGATTGAAGAAGTATTTTACTCTTTTTGTTAAGTTCCAACACTTCAGTTGAGGCATTTGGTTCAGTCTTCACCATTCAGTAAAATAAGCATTTACCATGTTTGCTTCCAGATCGCACAGGTGGCATCAACATCACCGACTGTGAGCAGTGCACGCCAGGCTACTACTGTGAAACATATGGGGCTGACCTACCCACTGGACTGTGTGACCCAGGCTTCTACTGTCCAGGTGGTCAAGACACCATCCGGCCAATGGATCTGGTCTGTAGTCCTGGTCATTTCTGTCTCCAAGGCAGCTGGAACCAGACTGGCTGTCCATCTGGGTACTACCAGGCCAACTGGCAGAGCTCTGACTGTGATATATGTCCAAAGGGATACTACTGCAGGGCTATTGGTATGTGTGGGCTACATGATTTATTTTACAGGATTCTACTGTACTGAAAACTGCTTTTGAGTGAATTCCATTCATCTAATTTGCTAAAACTCAATTGACAGGCATGTATAGAAAAGTTGCAGTTCTTGTAGAAATATTATGTATAAACCCATGTCTCTCTAGAAAATATTAATTACAATGCTGAATTTGAAACTTAACAGCATAATTATTCAGTGTATCTAAGTCCATGTTGTTACCAAAATTTTTAGGTGACTACGAGGTTCTAGACACAGACAACAGTACCTCCTATGGCAACTTCAGCAGCCGTTACCGCAGCTACAGGGGTGTGTCTGTCCCCACCGTCTGTCCAGCTGGGTCTTACTGCCCACTGGGCACTAAGCATGATATAGAGTACCTGTGTCCAGCTGGTACCTATAGCAACATGACTGGACTGTCCAACAGTACACAATGTACACCTTGTGATGCTGGCATGTTCTGCCTGGGAGAAGGTATAATGGATGTGATTTTTTTTTGAAAAATTAAAAAGTGTATAATTTGTCGATAAATCACTGGAATCAAATCTTGGTGTCACTAGCAAGAAAAGATAATATTTAAACTTTGTACATTTTAAGAAAGGGTATTCTGATGTCATACAGAACATTTTACCTCACAAGAACCTGGTATGGATTTTTATGATGAGATGATGAAATAGTTATGTACATTTGTGTAAACCAGTATTTGACCAATGAACCAAATCTCATTCTTATGTTTGACTTTTTCTAGGTAACACAGCTCCCACAGGCCCTTGTTCACCACGCCACTACTGCACCTTGGGTGCCTCCACCTCAACACCAACAGATGGCGTTACTGGTGACACATGCCCTGCAGGACGCTACTGTTTGGAAGGCAGTATCACAGGTGATGGTTGTCCAGTGGGGACCTTCAGTAACGTGACTGGCTTGGCTAATAGTAGTGAGTGCCAAGCATGCACACCCGGATATTACTGCGGACGTACAGGACTGACTGAGGAATCAGGGACATGCTGGGCAGGTGTGTGCAAGCTTTGTGTTGTCACTTTGGGTTTTTAGGAATCATTTTGGTAATCGTTGAAAAGTATTTAAAGACATACAAAGAATGAGTTTTTAAATAGATTTATGCTTTAAAAGGGAATTAAACCAAGATAAAATGTAAGCTAATTCCAATTTGTATTTTATATTTTCAAAAATAAAAGTGATGCATTTCTATTTATTCTCTGCTAATATTTTGTAAAACATGACATTCTGCATTATAAAAGGACATGACACATTTGATTAACATTGGTTAACACTGGTTAAACCTGTGATTCTAGGTTTCTATTGCACTGGTGGCTCCATTGAACCAGACCCAGTAGGACAGAGTTATGGAGACGGATGTCCTGCTGGTAACTACTGTCCTAATGGAACATACACTCCCAACAGGTGTCCACCTGGAACCATGCTGGACATTGGCAATATGCAGGACATCACAGACTGTGTGCCTTGTAGTGCAGGTATGTGAATGGAATATAGTCATATGTATGCATATTATATACATGTGAAAATGTATGTGTTAAAATCAATATACACAAGTGCATATGTGAAATTGTGTTTGCATATTTTGAGAAAGCTGAACAAATGACATGATATTTAACATTAAGAAAAAAATGATCGTTGATGTGTGAATATCACAACCTAAAGAAGGAACAATATGTTATTTGAAATAAATTATACTGAGATGTTTTTTTCTCCCAGGTTACTACTGTGAGAGTTGGGGTATGACAAACGTGACAGCACCGTGCTCTGCTGGCTTCTACTGCATGCGTGGGGCTAACAACTCTGCCCCAATGGATGGAACTACTGGTAAAATAAATTGATATTTTTACTATAAAATCCAACTGATAGATATCTTGATTGACTTGAGAATGATGTACCTCGAAAATAGATTCATCTGTGACTCATTTTGTTCTTTTTGACCTAGCTTTGTAACAACTCCAAAGATTTGAACTATTTTCAAAGTGTTCATATGACACAAAAAGAAAATAAGCAGGTGCATAAACTGGCTGGATATAAATTTATAAAACAGAAAATATTATCAAAGTGATAAAATATGGGGAAAATGCTATGTAATAGATGGAGGGAAATTTAAGGAAATGCAACCAGGATCTTTAAGTTACCTGTTTGATTACTCAGTATTCTTTATTGACCATAATTGATAAAGATTTGGAAAAAAGTAAGATTGTAAAAAATTCTGCATTGTTTTGACATTGACGTATTTTGTTTTACTGATAACAATGTTTTCTTTTATCCAGGTGACATCTGCCCAGCTGGAGCTTACTGTGAGCTAGGGTCTGCCATTTACTCTCACTGTCCAAACGGTACCTATACGAACCACACCGGGGCCTCTGTGTGTGCCATCTGCCCACAGGGTCACTACTGTGTGAACAGGGACAGGGCAGACCCATGCACACAGGGCTACTTCTGTCCTGAGGGGACTGGAGCTGATCTACAACCCTGCCCCCTAGGGACCTTTGGGAACACCACAGGGCTGGGCAGTGTGGACCAGTGTACCCCGTGTACCGGAGGTTACTACTGTGGAACTCCAGGGTCACCAGACCCAGATGGTCAGTGTGACCCAGGGTATTATTGTGAGTCAGGTGTGGACACTGCCACGCCCACTAATGGTACCCATACAGGCACAGGTGACCTTTGTCCAGTTGGTCATCATTGTCCAAGAGGGTCTGCTGTACCTACCCCATGTGCTCCAGGAACATATAATTCTGATCAAGGTGAATTGTTTACATTTCATTTTATGTGCTTGTTTTCGTAATATATGTTTTAAAATTTTATCACTACTGTCAATGCACCAAAGGTATTATCTTTCTTTTTTGACCTGGTCAAAAATTATTATCTTTGAACATTTATTCTCTCTCATATTTTTGAACTGAGTGATTAGTTATTTACTCATACAATTTATTGGTATTTGCTTTACAATGGTTTTACCTTCTGTTCTTCACAGGACGTGCCACTTGCCTGACCTGTCCAGCTGGCTACTTCTGCCTCAGCAACACCAGCGATCCCTTCATCAGCCCATGTCCAGTTGGTCACTACTGTCCAGCTGGGACAGCCTATGACACCGAGAACCCCTGTCCAGCTGGGACATACAATCCAAACACCATGCAGACCAATTCTACGTCCTGTGACTCGTGTCCACCTGGTCAGTACTGCCAGAGTGCTGGACAAAGTGCCCCCACTGGGAACTGTAGTGCTGGCTGGTTCTGTACTGGAGGGGCTATAGCATCACAGCCTATTGTTTTGGGTAAGTTGTTAAAGGAATAGTTGCAATTGGCTTTCTGCTTATTATTTTACTTGTTTTGTTTTGTGCACAAGCAAACACACTTTCTTTCTTTGATCTTTATGTATTGATGTACAACGTATATGTTTTTTAGTGAAGTATACAGTAAGACCTATTATTTATAGTGGTCCTGCTAAAATGATATGTTAGAATCCTTTTGAACTTTGAATGGTTATTAGATTTACCCACAGCAAGCCAGTGGCAGCAGCTGGTTAAACATTCTAATTTTTTTCCAGGTAATTTCACAGACATCAATGTGTGTTCCTGTCCAGAATATAACTACACAGGAGGAAGGTGTCAGCCAGGCACATACTGCCCCAGTGGTTCCTCAGCTCCTGTACAATGTACTTCCGGGTCCTACTGTGACAACTATGAGCTGCCAACTCCCACAGGTAAGTAGACTCATAATTATCCCATGAGAAAATGACTTGCTTAACAAAATATCTTGGGTTTTTGGGCTTGGCCTTAGACTGCTCAAACTTGGATACCCATCAATGCAATTAGTCCGCATAAGTGCAGTTGACACACCTAAATCTGTTATTGCCATCTCTGGGAGTAAAAATTTTAAAGTATAGTAATCATAATATATTATCAATGTCAAATATTGCAGGTATAGTTGTAAGAACCTGTATCACTCACAGGTATGCTGTGTCACTCCTGTATTTATTTATTTATTTATTTATTTATTTATTTATTTATTTATTTATTTCAGGTCTCTGTTCAGCTGGTTACTACTGCCCTGGTGGTAACAAGGTACAGAATCCAACACAATACCTGTGTACTGAGGGTGCATACTGCGAACAAGGATCGCCTCTGCCAACACCTTGTCCAAACGGGACTTTCTCCAACACCACTGGGAATGTGGAGCTGGCAAATTGTCTGAATTGTACTCCAGGTAAATTGTGATAGAGATAGAGTTTATTACAAGGTTGATGTAAACCATATGCCTTTTTAACAATTGTATCAGTACATGTGAATATTTAATTTTGATATACAACAATATAAAAATGAATGAAAAAATGTGCAAGGGCACTATATTAAAAGCTAAATGGTTTCACATGACATCCTTTAAAGTCTCTTGTAATTAATAATTATCTCATCAGGATGTTTTAGAAATGTCATCAAAAAAATTAGCTTCTAATGTTATGTAAACTATATTTATAATTTTCATCATATTTATCCTCTTTCCCCAGGATACTACTGTAATGGTGTAGGACTGACCAGCGTGTCTGGACCTTGTGCCGATGGTTTCTACTGTCCAGGTGGCCAAAGTACAGCCACACCAGATGAGTTCAGATGTCCACAAGGATCAGAATGTCCATCTGGCAGTCCATCACCAGTTATTTGTCAGAGAGGTAAAATTTTGTCTTCTTACACTGAACTTGTACACTCAAATGGTACAAATTCAGTTGTTCTGTTTGTGTTTAAGGAAAACTGTCATACACAGGAATAGTGTTCTTTGTATTTTGTTAGGAGAATGTCTTTCCATTGTATTTCTTCAATTTATCTATCATATCAAAAATGCAATAAACAAATATGCACACATGTAAATAAATAAATAAATAATGGAAATATAGTTTTAGATGTGCAACATATCTGTTAAGCATATTTCCTCTCTCTCAGGATTCTTCCAAAGCAATGAAGCCCAACCATCCTGTGATGTGTGTCCATCTGGCATGTATTGTGACCCCCATGAACTGGGCAATGTGACAGGCGTGGTGACCCCTGTCGTGTGTCCAGCTGGCTACTTCTGCCCCAACAACACTCAGTATGCCACCCAGAATCCTTGTGCCCCTGGATCTTTTAGTAACAACACTGGGCTGGCCGCACAGGGTGAGTGATAACAATGATGATAGATGACAAAGTGGATAGTTGTAAAGCCTGGAAGAAGTAATACTTTCAGTGATGTAGGCTTTCTTACAGCAGTTGTAGTATTGATAAAACTTACAACCTACCCCCTGCCCCCACATGGACTACAACCTGATCTGTAGTGTGACACTATTTTGTTGAATATACTGATAAGTGTATTGCCATCAGAACATTTCTCAATATATGTAGGTCTGATGAACAACAATATAACCTTTAATTATTATGAACATTATCAACAATTATATTAACTTTAATTATTATGATATAAATATTTCCTTAAAAAATAGCAATATTTGTCTGGTATTTATAATTTATTTCTCTCCACAGCTGACTGCAGTGACTGCACACCTGGGATGTACTGTGGTACAGCAGGCCTCACAGAGCCCACTGCACAGTGCCAGGCTGGCTATTTCTGTAGTGGCCGGGCCAGTACTGCCACACCTACAGATGGCGCCACAGGTGACATCTGTCCTCAGGGATTGTATTGTCCTCAGGGATCTAGTGTGGGTGAGTTGACTACAGTGGCTCATATTTATACTGTTCAATGTATTAGCTCAGTGAATAAGAGAAAAAAATGAAAAAAATTGTATTGATTTCCTAGCACTCTGTTTGAAGATCTGTCACTAGGTGTTTCCTGGTAAATTCTTAAATTAAAGTGACTTATTTAAAAAAAGAAGACTGAAATACCTATTGTCCAAATGAAAGTCCTCGTTTGTAACCTAAACTTGACATTTACTAAAGCTGTCATGATCTGTTCCTCAGGTGTCAACTGCCCAATAGGTCGCTATGGCAACCAGACAGGTCTAACTACATCTACAGAATGTACCCTGTGTGACCCTGGCTGGTACTGTCCTACACCTGGCCTCACTGCCTCCTGGGGAGAGTGTACTGCAGGGCACTATTGTGAGCTGGGGGCCACAGCAGCCAGTCCAAGGAATGCAACCTGGGGCTACCTGTGTCCTGTTGGTCACTACTGTCCACAGGGAATACCCACACCAACCCCATGCCCACAAGGGACATACCAACCTTCTGCTGATGGTAAGGGCTGTGCTTAGACAATACTGTTAACTGCACCTTTCTTATTTTTTCTCATAACTATTTAAAATTCATTTTTGAAGTTATTGGGATATAATTATGCTGACAAAAAGTTTATTTTTATACTTTAACTTTTGAATTATTGATGATCTTACAGTATTTTTTATATCATGTTAGAATTATCATCATGCTTCTAGAATAAAATTTTATTTGTCGATTAATGCATTTAGACTTTCTGTTAAATATTCTGACAAACACTCACCAGAAATGATATATTTTTATAAGTGTATTATGAAATAATCATTTTGACTATCCTATTTAATATATTTTAGGTAAAGCCAATGTGACTGACTGCCTAGCCTGTGATGCAGGTTACTACTGCCAAGTGTCTGGAAGTGAAAATGTCACCAATCAGTGTAGTCCAGGTTATTACTGCCAGGGCGGCGCCAGCGTCTCCACTCCCACAGGTAAATTTACTTACAAATATTTACAAGCTTTTGAGATAATTAGATTAGAATCTGATAGTGTTACCATCATTGGAAAATTAAATTAGGAGACTTACAATTCATAAAAAAATAATAAAACTAAATGGTCTTTGATATTACATATGCATCTTCAAGGGCCTTGTTTCTTTTCTTCCCCCACCAGATGGTGTGACTGGAGACATCTGTCCAGCAGGACACTACTGCCCTCTAGGGTCAGGTTCACCAACCCCCTGTGCCAATGCCACTTACATGAACCATACTGGGGCATCAGAGTGCTACCCATGTCCAGCTGGTCACTACTGTGTCAACAGGGACAGAGCTGACCCCTGTCCACAAGGTTTCTACTGTCCAGCCAGCACTGGTGCTGATGTACAGCCATGTCCAGTTGGTGAGTTTTATCCCTAAAGAAGCCAAAGAATGATATTTTGCTAACTTAATTGTTTGTGTGTAAATTATTCTTTTTAAAACTTGAAACAGCTGTCAGTGGTTGCTGTGTAGGAAAAATGTATACACATATGTGATCAACCTTGAAAGAAGTTAAGGTAGATTTTTGAAGAAATCACTGTGAATCACTAAAGTTTATGTCAAAATGTATATGTAGTATTTAAATGAATTCTAAAATTATGTAGAATTAGTCTGAAGTGCAAATAAACATATTCTTGTCTTATATTAGGAACATTTGGTGCCACCATCATGCTTACAAATGAAACAGACTGCAATCCGTGCACTGGTGGATTCTACTGTGCCACCCCAGGTCTCCCCGCTCCCACTGCTGCCTGTGACGCTGGATTTTACTGTACTTCTGGTAGGGTTGATCTATATTGAAGATATTTTTGATATAATACAAATTGATTATAGCAAAAATTGAAGCAATCTAGGTATCCTTTAGAATTATATGAGTGTGTTGCTGGTAGCTTAAAATGATTTAAAATGCCTAGAGTGCATTGTGTTTGATGAAACATAAAGCTGTTGGATCATATGCTTTTGACATAAACAGTACCAAAAAACAAGTCGGTAATACAATTACTACACTTAATATTTTGCCATGACACAGTTGTAATCAGGATATTGTATGGTGCCATGTTAAAGACTCACCTCTTTTTATCATCCCAGGAGTGAACATCTCTGCTCCTCAAGATGGTGTCCCTTACACGGGACAGGGTGGACTCTGTCCCATGGGATCTGACTGTCCCGGTGGCTCTGCCTATCCCACCATCTGTAGGGCTGGGACATACACCAACCAGACTGGGACAGCTGCTTGTGATACCTGTCCTGAAGGTAAAATAGTTTTATTAGTCTAAGAATAAGAATGGAATTTTATATAGAATCAATTTGGCAGAGACAATTTATGCCTTGAAGTTTCCTACAGCACTACTCAAAACAATTCAAGTAATTTGAATTATATATAATATATATTTTGAGTGATGGATTGTACATTGCAAGAGGTAAACGTGCACTCTGTGGTTTGTGTGTGAAGATGCCAAATATGGATATTTAGAACAAGACACTACGGATTTTGTAGGATAAATCACCTGTTTTGCTATTTAAGAACTGGCAAAAATGATACCTTTTTTCATTTATATTTATGTAGGTTTCTTCTGTGTGAATGAGACTATCAACCCAGAGATGTGTCCAGCTGGTCACTACTGTCCAGCAGGCACAGAGTTTGATGTCCAGTACCCATGTCCTGCTGGCACTTTCAACAATGATACAGGTCAGTGAAATTGTTTTGACTAACATTTTGAATTACTTTTGAGAAATATTAGTAACTTTCATAGAGTGATATGATTTTTTCACACAAATTTACAGGTCTAAGGAGGCAAGAATTTCTGTAAATACTTTTTGATGAAAGGAGTATATGGTTATATTTATAAATGAAAAATATTGAGATGATGTTTGATAGATTATGTGCAAGTCCTCTTTATGAAGTATAACAGTATAACATTTTCAAAGACAAGGTTTATGTCTACTGTAAAGCATTAGGGCATCTTTTCAATGTCTACCCAAAACAAACACCATGTCTTATATTCTTGTCATCTTCTAGGGGCCAGTAACTTGACCAACTGTGTCCAGTGTTCCCCAGGGTGGTACTGTCATGGCACAGGGAATGTAGTGCCCACTGGTCAGTGTGATCCTGGCTTTTACTGTCCAGGAGGGTCATACCAGCAAAGACCATTTGACTCTGGAGTACTGGTCAATGTTTCAGGATCTCTACAGTAAGTGCTAGTTACATAATATGTCATTGATAAATCTTCAGAAATTTTATATTGAAATAATAATGGAACCTATATCAATAGAAGTTGGAATGTTAAAATAACAGAATTAGGTTTAGGTTAATTTAGTAAAATGCCTATAAATTATATGATGTGCTACGTACAATACCTTTATAAAGAGTGTTAGGGTAATTAACAACAACAACAATTACCAATAACAATGTAGAAAAACTTAACATACATTGACTGCTTCTTTTAGACGGGTTAATTATTATTATTATTATTATTATTATTATTGTTTTTTTTTTTTTTTTTTGAATGAATATTGTGATTATATACAAAAGTAGAGAGTATAAGAAAATGTAAAATATTGAAAGATTGGTTGCCAATTAGTAGTACTATTGTGACCTGAATGTAATTAATATCTCATTTTAGGAGTCTCTTCTCCAATGACACCTGTACACCAACCTGGGACTGTGTCTGTCCATCTTTCCGAATGACCACTGGTGGTGTGTGTCCAATTGGCTACTACTGTCCACAGGGCTCAGCCAACCCACTGCCTTGTGATGGCGGGAAATATTGTGAGAGTCCAGGACTAGCCGAACCTACAGGTGAGATTTTAACTACTTCCTAATGGACTACCTTATTGTCTGTGTATGAAGCAGACTTTTCTTGCTTTATTGTTCTACCTGCATAGACAAGGTAAGATAAATACACAGTCTTACATATATTTGAGTAAAGAAATACGCAAGTTATTAAATTTAGTTTCAACTTCAAATAATTCTTTATAATTATTATTTTCTTGCTAGTTCTTGCTTTCTTATTTTGAACATTAACAGTAAACTTTTAATGTATTTTAAAAGAAAAAAATTCATGTCAATATACTGTTCACATGTTCAGGTAACTGCAGTGCTGGCTGGTATTGTAACCACACCAGTTCAGTACCTGACCAGCACATCTGTCCATCTGGTCACTACTGCCCAGTGGGCACTGCTGTCCCAGAGCCCTGTCCATCTGGAACGTACAATAATGCCACCAATGGCGATGAACTGACCGACTGCACCAACTGTACTGCTGGGATGTTTTGTCAAGGTGGGATTTAGTTGATTAATGTTGATAAACATTTAACATGATTAGATATAGGAAATATGCCCTTAATGCTGGAGTGGTATTCATTCTGCAAAATTTGATTTGTGAGGCATGTTGAATTTAGTTAAATCTCAGTGAACAATGTAGGTAACAACAGACTGGTTTATAGATATCGATCAAATTGGGTTTCTATATTGAATGATTTTTAATTGTTCAGCTTAAATGGTAATGTCAAAGGATGCATTTATTATAATTTCAAATTAATTGTGTAAAGGCATTTGTATTTAACAACAATAAAACATTTACCTTTGCAACTTGAATGAAGAAAAAATTCAAATGACAAAAATGTGGTTTTCCCAGGTGATGGCAACTCCTTCCCTGATGGCCAGTGTGACCCAGGATACTACTGTCCAGGTGGTCAAGACACATCCAGTCCCACTGACCGGCTCTGTTGGATGGGCAGCTACTGTCCAGTGGGGTCACAATGGCCAGTGCTCTGTCCTAATGGCACATACCAACACAATGAGGGCAGAGATGACTGTATTGTATGTCCTGAGGGATACTATTGTGATCCAAACGGAGGTGAGAGGAAGATTTTTTTATTAATGGTTTTGACTTGATTTGATTTGGATAAGTATGAGTTTTGAAACAGTTATTTTATTGAAAAGTAATTCATTTTCATATTTTACTTTAACCATGGTATTTTTAAAGGAATTTTTACATAGTTGTGTCACAGTCACAATGTTGATAATGACCTACTACCTTTAACGTATAGTCTGACTTAAAAGGAGCTAAAATGTTACTGTATATTTTTTAATAAAAGGTACAGATCAAGTCTTGCCTAATGCTTTTTAATGTGATAAAATTTTATTTTAATCATCATGATGACATATTTATTGTAACAGCTGCAGGATGTACAGTCCTTGTTAATATATTATCCTCATATAATTCTGTTAAAAATTTCAGGCAATAACACAGTTATTGATGGTAATTTAAGTGTTCTATCCATAGTTGATGGGTTATTTTTGCACCTTTATTGAACACTGACTATTGCATCCCAAGTGGACACATTGATTATGTGTACAGGGCACTTGGAATGCAATTTGTTAAGTGGTCCATTTGTTGTTTCTTGATATTGCATGCAATTTCACTGCATGTATTGCTTGATCTTCTTTTCTCCTAAATTGCTTGAAACCCACAGTATATCTTGAGTGTTTAGTGTGTGTGTGTGTGTGTGTGTGTGTGTGTGTGTGTGT